CGAAACTCAGGCATGTGCCCTTGAATGGAATCAAACCTGGGACCCTTCAGTCTACAGACCGACACTCTATCCACTGAGCCAAGCCGGCTAGGGCGCCTCATTAACTTTTTAATTAACCAGTTAACTGCCACATGCCACATATTTTGAATTTAATTGCGGCTATACATACTTATGGCATACAAAGGGTTAAACCGACCAATCCACACCACCACACCCACCACCACCACCAAAAAAAGGTCATTATTTCCACCTCCTGCCTAATTATGACTTGTCATTCCTTACCTTCCTCAGGGGCAGCTGAAGCTCCTTCAGGCAGTATAGCCTGTAATTCCCCAGTTTCAGAATTATTTTCCAAGTCAGTCATTTGCATTCCTTCCAGACGACCTCCTTTAACATTAGCCCTCAAAGAAGAAGAAAACAACTTGATATTTTTCTATAACTACTCACTAATAATTGTTTATTTTCTTCTCCTGAAACTGAGGATATATGCCACTGATGTCTAATAGTAAATTTCAAGTTTGTTTATTTTTTAAAATATATTTTTGATTTCAGAGAGGAAGGGAGAGGGAGAGATAGAAACATCAATGATGAGAGAATATCATTGATCGGCTGCCTGCTGCACGCCCCACACTGGGGATCGAGCCTGCAATCCGGGCATGTGCCCTGACCGGGAATCAAACCATGACCTCCTGCTTCATAGGTCGAAACTCAACCACATCGGCTGGGCTCAAGTTTATTTTTAAAAATTCTCTAGAGGACTCACTACAAAGGTTATAAAATGGACTACATCGGTGTCACCATCATGGCTGTGATATTGTATTAGTTTTACAAAATGTTATCATTAGGAGAAACTGGTTAAGGAATACAGGATTCTATGTATTATTTCTTTTAACTGCATGGAATCTACAATGAAAATGCTAATTAAAAAACAACTGCATGTGAATCTACAAGAAAAATTTCAATTAAAAAACAGAAGTCCAAAATAATATTTTCTCAGCAATATGGAAAAACTTTTTAGATATATTAAGAAAACAAGTGCATCTTTTGTATTAAAAAAGCTATATACTCACAGTTGCTTAAATATGCATAAAAACTGAGAAGACACATACATCCTATATAATAAAAGGCTAACAGGCAAATTATCCCCTTGACCAGGAGTTAAACCAAGGGGCGGGGCCGGACTGCCAAACACTCACGGCCGCTCCCCCCCAGTCAGCCTGGCCAGAACAGCTCCAATCGGGGCGGGCCAGCTGGACACCACCCGTGCACGAATACGTGCACCAGGCCTCTAGTCATATATAAAAAATTAACAGCAGGATTGTACGAGGGAAGGGGATGGGAAAACTAAGCAGATGGGAGACAAAAATGGGAAAATTTTCACTTAATAGTCTTTCTTTTGCTTACTTTTCTGAACCGCTATTATTTAAAATTTTTGCTTACACTACTTAAATCAGGAAATGAAAAGAAGACCCAAGCTGATGATACAATTAACTGTAAAATGAGGTTTATAGTTAAGAGCTGCAGTCACTTATAAAGAATTTTAGGATGTGAGGGCGATCTGGCTGCGACATCTGTCACCCCATTGATCGCCAGGGTTGATTCGGCTGATCTGGCTGGCTAGGCGGGTGTCCCCCTCCTCCCTCACCGATCCATGTGCGTCCCCCCCGAAGCTGCGCGCTAGGTCGAAGAGGACGACCTTCCCCCCCGAGGAGAGGACCGGTCTTCGATCAAGGGTATACGAGTAGCTGCGCTCCCCTGCTAGAACCTCCAAACAAGCTCTCAAGAATTTTACAGACTAGAAAAAAGTCTATGTTTATATACATTTAATGTTTATGGCTAAAGGCAGACATAAATATCTCCATCACAAAATGTAAAAGCTAGTTGAAGCTTCAATGTGAAAGGAACATGTATAAAATCAGGCTAACTAATGGAGAGGACAAGTTAATCACCAATGATTACAACACCTTTCCATTGCTTCAACTTGAGCCAAAACAGAAAATTAAACTACCAGCTATCCTTTTAGTTTTGGTAATTGTCCAGATCTTAAAACTATATGAAGTTAGTACACAAGAGATGTAAATCTTTCTCTAAATTTAATTCAAAGTCTCCAAAGTAGAACCATTCCATTTTTTAATTATAAATGTACTTAATATCCATAAAATAGATCAGCAGATGGATATTAAGTAAAGCTCATCTGGCACATTCATAGACAATCACTCTATCTTTTGAGGGGATGGAAGTTTAATTGACATGGCTGGGGTTTGAGCTTATGTTTCCTAGGAGATAGATAAAAGTGCTATTATATATATCATTTTGGGAAATTCCAACTATGAATTTTGACAACACTTTTATAAGAGGAGAGGAAAGGTGAAATAAAAAACAGTGTTAAAATAAAATTGCCAGAAGTGCTTTGTTCCACACAAAGTATGTATAAAAGGTCTATGAGATACAATATAGCCCAGCAAAGATGTCTTTTAAAAGTGTGGTACAGATGGCAAAAAAAATGGCTGACACACAAAAACATATCAGAAGGCAGAGGTCATTTAAGGTTTCACACCATTATTATCCTAACTTCAGTGAAAATGAGCTCCAACATAAACTAAATTTCTGGTACTATATCATCCCATTAAGAAAAAAAAAATTAAGGTTTTAGATACGTTTTTTATTTATTTAAATCCTCACCCAAGGATATTTTTTTATTTTTTTTATTTTGAGAGAGTAGGAAAGAGGGAGGGAGAGGAAAAGAGAATGAGACAGAGAGAGAGAAACATTGATATGAGAAAGTCACATGGGTTGGTTGCCTCCAGCATGCATCCCAACTGGGGCTAAGGATTGAACCAGAGCCCCTTTGGTATGGGGTCAGCAACTGAGAACACTGGTCAGGGCAGGGTTCTGATACTTTAAAAGTTGCACTTTAATACAACAAATGAACTTTCTCTCGGCTAAAAAATTAACATACTAGAAATTTATTTTGTTCGTTATGATGCTATTATTTCATTTCATAAACAAAAAACTTAATTTACCCCAAGGTGACCATCTTCCTCCTTTTCTCAACAGCAGGTAAGCCATTGATAACTGCAACCACAATAGCATTTGAATCCAAAGCCTGACTCTGCAGGTCTTCAGATTTCGGCAGAATATCACCGAAACTGCCATGTGTCAAGGCTCGGGGAGAACTGTGCCTGCTCCCAGACTGAGAGCTTCCTGGGGAAACTACAGAAAAGGAAGGGGATATTCAGATAAAAGGAAAACAAAATGTTCTCTCTCAGATTTCCACTTCAGATCTTATCATACATTTTTAAACTACAGGAAAATGCAAAAATAATTTTTAAATATATCATAATCTTTTTGATGCCAACTGTTTAAAATTAAGGCATCCAGAATATGCAACCTAATGGCTGCATTTTTTTTACTGATGGCTCTAATTAATCTGTTGTGAGATCAAGGAAGTTTTGAATCAGGTTTCAGCATTATGGTACAGTCTAAAGCTATATGTAAGATCAATTCTGAATAACAGTTTTCTACCCATGAAAATTACATTTTGAATTCTTCAAATTTACCTTCAGACAGAGGTTGACAGTCTCCCCTTGAATAGCTATTTTCCCCAGGGTCTACTGCTCTTCGAAGTGATAGACTACCTGCTATACTGGACCGAGCTGGCTTGGGTGAATTACTCTTCTTATTTGTGGCTGCAAAGACATTTAAAAACATTCCTGAATATGATAAAATAGCACAAAACTCACTACCTAGGCAGTCAGAGAAAGGTTTAATCTTAACATGCAAGAAAGGTATTCTAGCTACTATGTCAAAAATAAACAAAACAAAACAGAGGATGCTTTGGTCCCAACTGGTTTATTAGGGATTTTATTCCAAAAGCACTCCTACTCTGCTGCTTGTGGAGCAGTGTTAACTTACAAATCTAAAAAAATAAGTAAGTCAGAAACTTCAAAAGAAAAATCATACCAGACATAGACTCTAATCTCCATGTAATTAAACTAGTATTAACAATAAAATATAATCAGTAAACACTTGGAAATGGTAAAATATTATTGGTTTGGAAAGAGAATGCTTAATTAGAAATGAACCACAATTAAAATGCTTTAAGATGTTTGTGGCTAAATCAGTAATTAGCAGAAATGGATGGCCTTAAAATGAATTAGAAAAAAATGATACTAAATGGCCTAACATGCAGAGACTCAAGAAGCTATAAAAAGAATTAAATTTTTAAAAAGAGCACAGATGCATTAAAAGGTAATAAACAGGTTCAGCAAGGTAGAACCATGTAAGACCAATAATCAATTGTTTTTTAATCCAACAATCTGAGAATGAAATGTAAAAAACAATTCCATTCGCAAGAGCATCAAGTAGAAAACAGAGGAAACAATTAAGCAAATAAATGTAAGACTTGTACACTGAAAACTATCACACAGTGTTGAAAGAAAAAAAAAAGATAGGAAAATACTGTGTTCACTGATTGGGAGACTTAATACTGTTAATATGGCAGTACTCCCAAACTTGATCTACAGATTTCAACATAATCCCAATAAAACCTCTAGCTATCTTTTTTTTCCCTAATGGCTGAAACTGACAAACCAATTATAAAATTCACATGAAAATGCACAAGATCCATTACACCTCCAAACCATCTTGAATGGAGCACTCACAGTTCCTATTGTAAAACAATAAGCCTGGCTAGTGTGGCTCAGTGGTTGAGCATCAACCTATGAACCAGGAGGGCTTATTTCCTGGTCAGGGCTTATGCCCAGGTTTCAGGCTTGGTCCCTAGTGGGGGATGTGCAGGAGGCAGCTGATCAATGATTCTCATCATTAATGTTTCTTTCTCTCTCTCTCTCCTTCTTTCTCTCTCTCTCCCCCTTCCTCTTTGAAATCAATAAAAATTATTTTTCAAAATAAAACTACTCATTGGAACATACAACATATTTTGAACTTGAGAATAAAAAAACTAAAGGGATTCCTAAATAGAGCTGAAAAACATTACAAAAATCCTGTTATTGCTAAGGCATGGCACAGAACTTCTGGCTGGACTTCTTCCATGACAGGAAGAGATGAGGCACTGGGAACCTGGGGGCAGCCTTCTATTTCCACCCAAATAAATCTTACCGCCAGACCTCATCCCCTCATGTGGCTCCCCAAAAACGCTTTTGTCACGACACCACAAGGACTCCATTTCCACCAGCAAGTCTCACAACTCCCACTCTCAACCCTTTTCAGTTCCTTCTCCACCCAACAAGCAAAGTAACCTTTGTAAAAGGTAAATCAGATAATAAATACTCCCTGATATCTATTCTTTAAAGACTTCCTCCTAAAACCAGAATAAAACACAAAACTCTTTATTGAGGTCTTACCAAAACCCCTACCTGAGCTAGATCCTGCCTACCTCTCTGCTTATCTCCTATTATTCTCCCCTGTGCTGTGTTCACCATATTCAGCCATAGGTCTTCCTTCCAGCCTTCAAATAAGCAGAGCAAATCCCTTATCAGTGACTTTACATTTTCTGTTGTTTACCCAGAACACTTCCAACACTTCCAACAGATCTTTGCATGGCTGTCACTTTCTTAACCTTCAGGTCTCAGTTCAAATGTTGCTTCCTCAGACTTTCTCCGACTACCCTAACTAAAGGAGCACATTCCTCACCTGTTCTTTCCACCCACTCTTCTGTTGTTTCCTTTATAGCACTCTTTACTTTTTATCAACCGCAATTATCTTTACTTCTTTACATATTTTAATGTCCAATCCCGACCATATAAATACATGAATGCAAGATCCATAAGGTTAAGGTTTTTGTGTTATTTATTGCCCAGTACAGAATAAGCAATCAAGAAATGTTAGCTCTATTATACAGTTGAAAATATAGTCTGTTTTATTTTTTGTTAATCTTCACTGGAGGATATTTTTTCCATTGACTTTTAGATTGTGAAAGGGAGGGAGGAAGGGGCAGAGAGAAACATGAATGTGAGAGAAACACATCAATTGGTTTCCTGGCCCAGTTGGGGCACCTGCACAAGGCATCAAACCCGAGATCCTTTGGTGCTCAGGCTGATGCTCTAACCACTGAGTACAATAGCCAGGGCAAAAATATAATCTGTTTTAGATAGGAGAAAGGGTGGTATATATCTGAAGTCTCAATTCATTGTAAGAGAGATTTTAAAGTATTATTACTCTGAAAATAACCTGTCCTCTAGCTTCCCAAATGACATGTGGAGAAAAGACACTAATAGGCTCGTTTTCACTTACAGTTTCGTATGTAGCAACTGGCAACTGATGACTTTGCCAAGAGCTCCATTCCCAAATCCTGTAATCTGCCAGAGTTTTCAGTTCCACATGCAGCCAGAGCTGCCTGGTCAGCAGAAAAAAGGCTTGTCTGCATGTCTCCAGAAGGAGCATTGCTGCTTTTTATTTCTGAAAGTGGATTCTTTACATCAGTCTTCATACATCGAACTTCAGCCATTTGAGTTTTCAGTCTTTTTAGCATCTTTAAGTCAGAGGGAACTCGCCACATTGCCTGCTGTTTCCTTTGATCTTTATCTTTTCGACAATATGAAACTTGAGAGAGAGAGAGAGAGAGAGAGAGAGAGAGAGAGAGAGAGAGAGAGAGAAACTCATGTTAATATAGACGTTAACATTAATAAAACCATTCTAGCCCTAGCTAGTTTGGCTCAGTGGATAGAGCATCTGCCTGTGGACTGAAGGGTCCCAGGTTCGATTCCTGCCAAGGGCACATGACTGGGTTGCCGGCTCGATCCCCAGTAGAGGGCGTGCAAGAGGCAGTCAATCAATGATTTTCTCTCATCACTGATGCTTCTGTCTCTCTCTCCCCCTTCCTTCCTCTCTGAAATCAATAAAAATATAAAAAATAAAACCATTCTGCATTGTGAAATATGCTGCACAAGGCATCAAACCCGAGATCCTTTGGTGCTCAGGCTGATGCTCTAACCACTGAGTACAATAGCCAGGGCAAAAATATAATGTTTTAGATAGGAGAAAGGGTGGTATATATCTGAAGTCTCAATTCATTGTAAGAGAGATTTTAAAGTATTATTACTCTGAAAATAACCTGTCCTCTAGCTTCCCAAATGACATGTGGAGAAAAGACACTAATAGGCTCGTTTTCACTTACAGTTTCGTATGTAGCAACTGGCAACTGATGACTTTGCCAAGAGCTCCATTCCCAAATCCTGTAATCTGCCAGAGTTTTCAGTTCCACATGCAGCCAGAGCTGCCTGGTCAGCAGAAAAAAGGCTTGTCTGCATGTCTCCAGAAGGAGCATTGCTGCTTTTTATTTCTGAAAGTGGATTCTTTACATCAGTCTTCATACATCGAACTTCAGCCATTTGAGTTTTCAGTCTTTTTAGCATCTTTAAGTCAGAGGGAACTCGCCACATTGCCTGCTGTTTCCTTTGATCTTTATCTTTTCGACAATATGAAACTTGAGAGAGAGAGAGAGAGAGAGAGAGAGAGAGAGAGAGAGAGAGAGAGAGAAACTCATGTTAATATAGACGTTAACATTAATAAAACCATTCTAGCCCTAGCTAGTTTGGCTCAGTGGATAGAGCATCTGCCTGTGGACTGAAGGGTCCCAGGTTCGATTCCTGCCAAGGGCACATGACTGGGTTGCCGGCTCGATCCCCAGTAGGGGGCGTGCAAGAGGCAGTCAATCAATGATTTTCTCTCATCACTGATGCTTCTGTCTCTCTCTCCCCCTTCCTTCCTCTCTGAAATCAATAAAAATATAAAAAATAAAACCATTCTGCATTGTGAAATATGCAAATTTGATGTGTAAATAAGCTACTTTAGGTGGTGTCAACAATAAATGTATTACATGCCATTAATTAAAATAAATATAGTCACAAATATCTTAGTATTATTCATACCTTCAAAGTTAGAATCTGGGTCACATTATAATCACCCAAATCTGTACTAATATTGAACTCTAAAGTTTAAAAAGCTGCACTACTTCCTGTGCTTTCTCCTTTACATTTCTCTTTTCTCAAATTTTCTACACTGAAGTTTTATTATATTTACTAGAGGGCTGGTGCACCAAATTCGTGAACTCGGGGGGTGGGGGGTTTCCCTCAGCCCAGTCTGCACCCTCTCGCAGTCCGGGAGTCCTCAGGGGATGTCCAACTGACTTCTTAGGCTCGCTCCCACAGTGGGCCTAAGCCGGCAGTCGGACATCCTTAGCGCTGCCACGGAGGCGGGAAAGGCTCCTGCCACCGCTGCTGCGCTCACCAGCCATAAGCCCGGCTTCTGGCTGAGCAGCACTCCCCCTGTGGGAGTGCCTTGACCACCAGGGGGCAGCTCCTGCATTGAGTGTCTGCCCCCTGGTGGCCACTGTGGGTCATAGTGACTGGTCATTCTGCCATCAGGCCGAAACCAGCTCTCCCACATCCCCCGACAGGTCCTGGATTGCGAGAGAGCGCAGGCCAGGCCGAGGGACCCCACTGCTGCACGATCATGGCCGGGGAGGGATGCAGGAGGTTGGCCAGCCAGGGAGGGACCGCGGGAGGGTTCCAGGGTGTGTCTGGCCCATCTCACTCAGTCCCGATAGGCCGGACCCCAGCAGCAAGCTAACCTACCAGTCAGAGCGTCTGCCCCCTGATGGTCAGTGCACGTCATAGTGACTGGTTGACCGGTTGACTCTCTGCCCCCTAGTAGTTAGTGCATGTCATAGTGAGTGGTTGAGCAGCCTTAGCATATCATTAGCATATTACCCTTTGATTGGCTGACCGAATGACCGGACACTTAGTATATTAGGCTTTTATTATATAGGATAATTTTAAAACATAGCCAACTACTTAGCCAAATCTGATATAAAAATATGTATATTCTAACTAAATTCAAAATGTTGATTTACCAAAGTACTAGCCAAGCATATGTAGTTATTAAGTGCCATGGAACATCACAAAAGAATAGTTCCCTGCCACTGAGTCTACAGCCACTAAAGTAACAATGTTTTCTTTCTTCCCAGAGAAAGTAATTGAAGCTGTTTTTAACTTTTCCTCCCTACCCAAATATTAAAATGAAAGGTATGAGCAAGGAAAATATATTTTCTTCTCAGGAAGGAAAAGAGCTAAATATTTTGGAAATCAAAGAACATTATGGCTGACTTAAAGCAAAATGAAACTAAGCCAAAAACACACACACAAAACACAATACCTGCACACACATACCACATCCCCAAATGGGGCCAACAGGCACTCAAACCAGACAAAGAACAAGTCCTTTATTAGCAGAAATGGCTACAACAGCCATCTGCCATAAAAGAGGACATACAGTAAAAGGTAGGTGCTGTAGTGTATCAGCCATTTCCCCTTGCACAAAAAGGATTCAGACTGTGTTCAGGTATCAGGTGAGCAGCAATGTGCTCAGGGAGGTTAGGTCCCTCCCTTTGGCTCCAGTAGATATGGGTCCAGGACTGGTCTAAGCTCATTCCTCTTTGATAGTGGACATAAGACTCAGTCTCAACCAAAAGACTGGGGGGAAGGGGAAGAGAAGTAACTTCTGGGAAGATTTTCTATCATGATTTGTTGTATTTATTTAACAAACATCTATAAAGTGAGTATCAAATATTTTTAAAACATTAAGTCATTTAATCCTCTCATATCAATCCTCTAAGGTAAGTACTATTACCTCCATTTTATAAATGAGGAAAGACACATAAAGGTTACCCAACATAATACTCAAGGTAACACAGCTAATAAGTAAAAGAATTATTGTATTATTTTCCATACAAACAACTGTAAACCTAGTCCTGCCCCATCCTGTATTTGTTGGATAGTTTCAAACTCTGATTTTTCTTTGGAATATACTCCTAAAAGTAAAGTTACATGATTCAAAGATAGAAATATTTTTGAGCCCAGCCGCAGTGGTTCAATGGTTGAGCGTCAACCTATGAACCAGAAGGTCACAGGTTTGATTACCGGTCAGGGCACATGCCTAGGTTGTGGGCTCGATCCCCAGTGTGAGACTTGCAGGAGGCAACCAATCAATGATTCTCTCTCATTGATGATTTATCTCTCTCTCCCTCTCTTTCTGAAATCAATAAAAATATATTAAAAAAAGAAATATTCTGAACCTACTATAAAATTTTCCTTCAAAAAGGTTAAACCAATATACATTCCTACTTCCAGAACCAGAACTTGTCTGTTTCACTAGGTCTTTGCAAATATTGCCCACAGTTTTCTACAATAAAAACGCCTCAGAAAAAAATATAAAATCATATACAATGTGGTAAGTGCTACAAAAGTACAAATATAATACAAAATGTACTTGGGGATCATAGATAAAAGCAATTGTTTCATAACTTGGTTGTAAGCCTACAGAAAGTATACCTTAGAAAGGAAAGGGCCTAACTTAATCCAACCTCTGAGAGTCCATTCCCCACTAGGTAGAACAGCTCTAATTCTCTGATTTCTACATGGAGGCTCTACCTTAGACTTTGTTTGAAAAATGAGTTCCACTGCTTTAAAGAATCAAAATCATTGTTTTAAGCCACGGATTTAATTTGTATATAGTGCTGTTGTTTAAGAAGGTAGGAAAATGTTTGGTATATTTTTTAAAAGCTTTCCAACAAAAATAGTTTTTAAAATGTGTCATTTAAAGGTAAATCCTTAGCTATTCAAAATGACCATGCCATAGCGTTTCGAAAAGTCCAACTTTGATTATACCTTTAATATGTATGTGTATACACTGTATTACAGTAACACAAATGTTATTTCTCTTCAACAAATAACCTTTGTACCTAAACACTGCTGCTAGCTGGTTTAGGTTTTTAGGCTATTGAACATCAAAGTGTGAGTAAACCATCTTTTTCTATATTCAACTTAGACAGAGTTCCACTTGGAAGTTACGGTATTCATGAGTTGTGCAAAACTCTAAGTCCACTCACAAAGAGGAAAACTGTATTTCATATGGATCAAACTGTCAATTACATACAATTTAAAGGGCAAACCATTAAAAAAACCAATCCTCCTTACAGGCATTTTGACATTATTTTCACACAAAATACCTTTGAACAGTAACAAAATATTAATTTGATTAATATAAATGTCTTTTTATGACTTACAATGAAAAAATCAATTTGCTACAGAAATATACTGTATTTGGAATAAGAGTTCTTTTGGGGAACCACGAAAAAGGAAAATCACTGTTAATATTTTACCTGTGGGCTGCAACAGTGAAGCAGGTGGGCGAGGTTGTAAGCCCCACAAATTTTCCATACTGTTCCGGCCCTTAAGGTCCAACAAATGCATTAAAATGAAAGGATCAATGTCTAATAAATTACTTGTAGTAGCAGAACATAAGTGTGTTCTTCTTGACATTCTACTACTGGCACCAACATAGCCATGGTTACCACCTGCAAAAGAAAAAAAAAACACAATACAGAAAGTGCATGCTATATATGTGTACAAATTTAAGTATACTTAAAAGAAAAAAGTAAACTGCTTGATGTTTGAATACTTGTCTCTTAGGATTTTATTTTCATAAGAAGCACAATGAAGAAACCAGATTGCCGTAGAGGTGTACACAAGCACAGTGGCTGAGCACTGGCCTCATTACTATCCAGAATTCGGGAGCAACCCTCAAACTCATCCTGAGCCCTAGAAATAAAAAAGTGACAATGTATACAGTATATACAATTAATGGAATGAGAATTAGGAAAAGCTAACATATCTCATAACCCAGTGGTCTTGGATGAAAGACAAATCTCCATAGTATAACAGATTCCAAGAACTAGACACCAAAATAGGAATCTTCTCCAGGTCTCTGGATAGCAAACTGTACAGATCTATGACATGTTTGGTAGACTTTTTTTCTAGCTTAAGTACTGGAACACAAGTTGAAGTTTTTAGACCGAACTTGTTACTGACTGATGGCATAGTACAGACTGTGAGCAAATGTCCTATTTATATCACCTATGTTGAACTAAGCCTTAAGCCAAGAAAACCACCTGACTTTTCTCTAGTACCTAGTACAATGCCTAGCAATATTGGATTATGAAAATACTGGTTAAAAATCAACCTTTAATAAAGCTATTTAAATATATTTTACACTGTAATACCTGGAAGCAAGTCTCTAAGCATAGCTTACATTTAAGGGTGGAGAGTTACACTTCACCTCCTTGAAGAGGCAATATATAAAAAAATTATTTGGAATTCTTTTGTATGTGCATGGTCTTATATATATTAGTTATACATCTATTCACCTTCAGATTATAAATTACTTAAGAGTAACTCTTTTTCATTGTATTTTCCAGAAATCTGGAAATAGAAAAGAATTTCAATAAATGCCTACCAAATATATAAAATTCCCCAAAGCACAAAATACAAATTAACTGTTTGATTTACTATTGTATCCTCAGCATCTAGAATTCGATGTCTGAACTATAATAGGTGCTCAAGAATATATATATATATATTGAACAAATAAATTATAATTTCAGAATTATAGAACATGAGGTCCATGAGAACAGGGACATCTTTTTTTCAATACTGTAGTGCCTGAAAGTAAAACAGTATTCAGTTTCAGTTCAGTGCTCGGTAAATATTTGGTGAATGAATAATTGAAAAAATATAACCTCTGCTTACCCAGAGTGTCTAAAAATGTTATATATAAGAATTTTCCTACAATACAGTTTGAGAGGAAATCAGATTTAACTTAAAAAAAAAAAAAAAAAAAAAAAGTCTGCCCTAGCCGGTTTGGCTCAGTGGATAGAGCATCAGCCTGTGGATTGAAGGGTTCTGCCAGGTTCAATTCCGGCCAAGGGCACATGCCTGGGTTGCGGGCTCAATCCCCAGTGTGGGGTTTGCAGGAAGCAGCCAATCAATGATTCTCTCTCATCATTGATGTTTCTATCTATCCCTCTCCCTTCCTCTCTGAAATAAATAAAAAATTTTTAAAAAGGCTAAAAGCCCTAGCCACTTTGGTTCAGTGGATAGAGCATCGGCCTGCAGACTGAAGGGTCCCAGGTTCAATTCTGGCCAAGGGCACATGCCGGGTTGCAGGCTCGATCCCCAGTAGGGTGTGCAGGAGGCAGCCAATCAATGATCCTCTCTCATCATTGATGTTTCTATCTTTCTCTACCTCTTCCTTCCTCTCCAAAATCAATAAAGAAATATATTAAAAAAAGAAAAGGCTGAAAATATTCAGTAACCTTGACGTAGTACACTCATCTTCCATTTTATACCAAGATGGCCTCTGAATTTTTATGCACTATTTAGAACCTTAAAAATTACATTGAAAACTTAGTAATAAAGTGCATTTACTCAATGTTTATGTGAAAAATATTAAATGATCCCTATTATACTGTTTAAAGTGCTAGGAATACAAAATTCTGACACACATTATCTTGCTTCTTGGAGTTCAGAGATGAAAAGCAAAATAGCTATATAAGCAATAAGAATAATGTTTAACATAGGTTAAATAGGTTCTACAGATTCTAATTGGTTAATTTGAGAAAGCAGAAAAGACACCCAGGGCAGGCAGTCCAGGAGGGCTTCCAGTAAGAAATGAAATAAAAGCAAAAATAAGGAGAAGGTAGAAGGAACAACACATTGGGAAGCAAAGATGTGAAAAATACCATGGCACAACTGATGGGCTGAAAAATGATGCAGAAGAGTGTAAGCAGGCTAAAGAAATGAGCAGAAGCCAGCACATAAAGGACCTTCTACACCATATTAATGAGTTTGGATTTTATCCATAAGTAACTGGAATCCAATAAAGGGTTTTAAGTAGAGAAGTTACATGGTCAGATATCAATTTGAAGGAAAAATCACACCCATTCTGAACTCATGCTGTAGGAAACAGAATGAAGGGGAGCAATAATTGATACAAGGAACCCAGATGAGAGGCTATTTTGAAAGACAGTAGCCTAGAATCTCACAGACTTTTATAAGTAAACTAGAGGCTGGGTGCACGAAATTAATACATTGGAGGGGGGTGTCCCCCTCAGCCCGGCCTGCGCCCTCTCACAGTCCAGGACCCCTTGGATGATGTCCGCCTGCTGGCTTAGGCCCAATCTCCCCCTGGGGATCAGGCCTAAGTCAACAGGCGGACATCCCTCTCGCAGTCCGGGATCCCTTGGTCCTTACCACCTGCCTGCTCACTGCTCCTTACTGCTTGGCTCACTGCTCCCTAGTGCTGTCACGGAGGCAGGAGAGGCTCCCGCCACCGCTGCTGCACTTGGCAGCCGTGAGCCTGGCTTCTGGCTGAGCGGCACTCACCCTGTGGGAGCATACTGACTACCACGAGGCAGCTCCTGCGCCGAGTGTCTGCCCCCTTGGTGGTCAGTGTGCAACACAGTGACCAGTCGTTCTGGTCATTCCACCGTAAAGGCCACTTAGGCTTTATTATATAGATGAGATAAGGTACACAAAGTGCATTTGCCTGGTACATGAGTATATGTCAAATAGCTATTATTATTATTTTAAGAGCTAGTGGCTGCCACATATTAAAATATGATATGGTCAAAAAAGAACAAAGGGAAGACAGAATGGCTTGTGGGCTTGGCCCTTGTACCCGGAGGTCCTGCAGCAGCTGAATCTTCCATCAGTTCTCCCTCTTCCAATTCCATGTTGTTGTATTCCACATCATTTTCTCCAGACCTAAGAATACACAAAATTCATTATTCCCACAAAGTTCAGTAAAATTAACATTATTTATCACAGCTCAATGAATTTTATAACAATAATGCACAGCTTTCTCTTGTGAAGACAGATATTACTAAATACAAAAATGAAGAAAAAGACTTTGGTCATTATCACATGTATAGTTAGTAGTAATAGTCAAACTACCTTTAAAAAATACCAAAATAGCTTGGAAACATTTAATTTTTAAAAGAGAAAATCTGAGAACCATTGTAGAGCAAAAGATTATAGCTTTAAATAATATGTACCTTAATGATAGTAAATTAGGCTTAAAATACTACATTTTAGCCTTAGCTTGTCTGGCTTAGTGGATAGAGCGTTGGCCTGCAGACTTGAGGGTTTCAAGTTCGATTATGGTCAAGGGCATGTACCTCAGCTGCAGGCTCAATCCTGGTCCAGGGCCATGTGCAGAAGGCAACTAATCCATGTGTCCGTCTCACATGGATGTTTCTCTTTTTCTGTCTCCCTCCCATCCCCCCACTCTCTCTAAAAATCAATGGAAAAATATCTTCAGGTGAGGAATAACAAAACAAATAAAGCACCACCTCATTATAAGGTTAAAAAAGAAAGATGCTCAAATTACTGCATATATTAAATATTTTCCTAAAATATTATTTAAGAATAAATGGTAATATCCCCTTATCAAAGTCCTCAAAGTATATCATACCAAAAAACACTATTACCTTATTTTATTTTTTTATATATAAATTTTTATTGATTTCAGAGAGGAAGAGGGAGTAAGAGAAACATCAATGATGAGAGAGAATCATTGACCGGCTGCCTCCTGCACGCCCCTCACTGCAAATCGAGCCTGCAACCCAGGCATATGCCAGGACTCTTTAGTCCGCAGGCTGACACTCTATCCACTGAGCCAAACTAGCCAGGGCTTTTCGAATCTTTTTGCTATTTTGTTGGTATTTCCTCTGAAAAATGGGCTGATGCCAGGGCTGGAACAGAGAAAGTAGAAGGTGAACCTGGAATGTCTTTTAGTGCCAGAAAATAAGAAAGTGCTTTAAAAATTATGAGGACATCTCAAAGGACACAGGAGTTATCTCTTTAACAGGCTCCCATTGGCTAAATCTTAGATAATCTGAGTAATAAATTATGATAATAAATGGGTTAAATTATTTAATAATATAAGAATCTGTGAGTCCATACTAATGAAATTAATCAATTAATTAATAGGGAAAGTTCTTCCTTAAAGTAAAATTCCAACTAAGTGCAGAATGAATAATGGTATCATCATTTGGCAATCAACACAGTAATCTTTTCCAAGCTAGTATCATCAATGGATGCTAAAATTAATGGACAAAAGTACAATGAGAAAAAGTTATTTACAGTCTCAAATTATATTCCCAAGAGATATTTATTAATCACAAAAGGAAAAAGTCATAATTGTAGAGAAGGGAAATCAGGAAGACACCCTCTTAACCAAGTGTCTAAGTTAATCAACCCTAATGGGACAGATTAAAGACATGCCTCCACTTCCCCCTCATACAATATACTGAAAAGATTACCTCACCACTTCTGTAGTGTTCTTCCCAAAGGTGCATAACCTCAGTCTAATGGTGAGGAAACATCAGACAATTGCAAATTGAAGATTTTCTACAAAATAACTGCTATGTATTTCTCAAAAGTGTCAAAGGCATATAAAAGAAAGTAAAAAAAAAAATGAAATAAAAGACTAAGTGACCCAGATTGGGGCAAACTAAAGAGACTTAACTAAAAGCAACATTTGATCCTGCATTGGATCCTAAACCAAAGGACATCACTGAATGCAAATTTTTTAAAAAATTTATTTTATTGATTTTTTACAGAGAGGAAGAGAGAGAGATAGAGAGGTAGAAACATCAATGAGAGAGAAACATTGATCAGCTGCCTCCTGCACACCTCCTACTGGTGATGTGCCCACAACCAAGGTACATGCCCTTGACCGGAATCGAACCTGGGACCTTTCAGTCCGCAGGCCGACGCTCTATCCCGAGCCAAACCTGTTAGGGCTGAATGCAAAATTTTTAAAAGGTCAGATTATAATATTGCAGCAATGTTAGTCTCTTGACTTTGATAACTGCACTGTAGTTACATAAGAAATATACTTGTTTTCCGGAAGTACATAATGGGAAGTATACCCACCTAATCTCAAATGTCTCACAAAAAAATTATATGGTGAGAAAGAAATATAAAGCAAAATATTAACATGTGAGGAAAGAATACAGGCAGTTCTTTTTAAATAGGGGAATTCTTAGTATTTTTTGCGACTTTTCTTAAATATGAAATAATGGCAAAATTAAAAGTTAAAACAAAAATTAAAACTCAGGCCCTGGCCAGGTGGCTCAGTTGGCTGGAGTGTGTCCCACACCAAAAGGTTGCAGGTTCAATTTACGGTCAAGGCACTTACCTAGGCTGCAGGTTTCATCCCTGGGATAGGAGGCAACCGACAGATGTTTCTCTCTCTTTCTCTCTCTCTGGCATGCACGCACAAATCAATAAAATATATATCCTTGGGTGAGAGAAAGAAAAATTAAAACTCAGTTTGGAACCCAGAGATGAGAGAGTGGAAACTAATTCAAGTATTTCCTTTAAAATCCTTTATTTATAAAGATTATCAAGAAAAAATGCTAAGTATCCCCACTTTTAGATCTAGTTAATATCCAATTATCATGTAGGTGTTTTATATGGTAATTAATGTGCAACACTCACATAGTTTCTTCATCAATGTCGTTTTCCTCTGTGTTACTTGTTGCTGTGGAACTGGCAGAGGAACTGCTACCATCGAGGTGGTTTACTTCATCTTCACCAACAAGATCCAGATCCAGATCCCCATCTGAAAGCTCATGCTAGAACAAGGCAAAGAAATAAAGACTTTTATCTCAAAGAACAATTGAGTATGGAGCAAGCACCAAACAACAATGCAATCATCAGAATTCTCTGCTCGTGTGCCCAATCAGCTAAGCCCCGTAGAGAGAAAAAAATCACACAACCACATTACCTGGTACTACTAATTTATTGCTGCCAATTTCAGCGGGGCCCTTAATGTAATTGGAAATGCTTCCGGTATTCCATGTTAGCTTCCAGTAAGGCTCCATACAGAGTAACATTTCAAATTATCATTCCTCAAATCCTACCTAACTTCTATTATCCACAAGGTCATTGTAAAACCTGCACCTACCTGCATAGATAAGCACACTGACTATTAAACACAAATTCCTCCAACTTTCAGCTGCCCTACATGTAAACTCCATCTTTACCTCATCCTATCAAAAGATTAACGTGAGTGCTCAGTTCCAGACCCTATTCGTTTCCTTAAATACTTGGGATTTGTCAATACCTTAAACTTATCTTCAGTCTCCCTAATGGCTCCTTCATTTTTTTTTTTTTTTAAATTCTGGCATCAGTCTTTATTATTCCTTCAGAAACCATGTCTCCATAGAGCAAGCATGTCAAATTCAATGGTTAACACGGGCCAAATAAACAAGGTTTAAGTTTATGTGGGCCACAAAAAAACAAAAGCTTCAATTTTCATAGAAACGGAGGTTTATTTCGATAGAGACATGCTGAATACAAAGGGCTGAAATAACTGAATAAGTGTAATGCAAATAAACCTATTTTTCTTGTTCTCAGAAAGCAAAATATTTCCCATTGCACACACCAAACAAGTCAGTACAAGACTAATGATGGGGCAATCGACTGCTAAAATATTCGCTGCTAGCATTAGTGGAGAGAAATGGCGCGCCTGCATGTAAGGCATGTAAGGGAAATGAATGCAATACGATTATAGTAATCAGTCATTAGCGAACGTTGTAGTTCATCATTAATAATTATGTATAACAGAATGCTGTAAAAATTAAGTTACGAAATTTTTATTAAAATGTTTCTTACATACCGTTATATTGCCTGGGCCACAAAAAATATTCCCCGTGAGTTTGACATGCTTGCCTTAGGGCAACGATTCTCTTTCTTTTTTAAAAAAAATAATTCCTTATCGTTGCATGTATTACATAGGCCCCCCTTTTTCCCTCATTGACCCCTTCCAGCCCACCCTCACCCCCCCGCCCTCACCTCCCCATTGTCAGTGGCCATGGGCTATGCATATATGCATACAAGGTTCTTGGTTGATTACCTCCCAGCCACCTACCCTCTCCTGCCTTTCCTCTCAGACAATTTTTTTTTTCATGTTAAGGATAAAGACAGGGGGTAAGAGATACTTCTTTTTTATTGCTGCACAGTATTCCATGGTGTAAATGTACCACAGCTTTTTTATCTACTCATCTACTGATGGGCACTTAGGCCGTTTCCAGATTTTAGCTACTGTACACTGTGCTGCTCTGAACATAGGGGTGCATACATTCTTTCTGATTGGTGTTTTGGGTTTCTTAGGATATAGATATTTCTAAAAGTGGGATCACTGGGTCAAATGGCAGTTCCACATTTAATTTTTTGAGGAAACGCCATACTTTTTTCCATAATGGCTGCACCAGTCTGCATTCCCGTCAGCAGTGTACTAGGGTTCCCTTTTCTCCACATCCTCTCAAAAAGCTTTTCCCTGTATCCCTATCTTACCTCAAATAAAAACAACCACTCCTTGAATTCTCATTCTGTTCATTATTTAGCTGGGACAAAACCTGGCTATCTCCCAAGTCCTAAATGAATCTATCTACACATGCAATGACAAGGCATTTACTAGTTTCAGTGAATAAAAATATAGCACATTTTAAAAATTCACAATCTACAGTTTCTAGAATGTACATCAGTTTGTTGTGTAGAATGTACTTTTCTACAATAAATTAATTTTAAAACTTTAAACACTTTGATTCAGCAACTTCTGACTTGACTAACAGATAAGATTTTTAGCACACTGACTCCTCTACATCACATGGTGAAAACCATGATCTTATTAATTTCTCTTATCAAACACAAAATAAATCTAAAAAACTGGTGTATTACATGATAATCCTCATTTTGAATCTTCTCCTCATCTTCATCCTCTTTGGCCTCTCTTACAGAAGCTGAAATAGGACCATCCTGGAGAAGCATGTCAGCACAAGACCCAGACTTCTTAGATCGTGTCTCAGGACTGTCATCATTTTGGGGGCTAAGATGATTAGCTGGTGGTGACAAATCTCTTGATTTCTGAGTTCGAGATAACTCAATAGTAAGTCTCTTTTAAGACAAAAACAGCACGAATAAGTTATAAGCAGTGTTTCTATGGGAAAGCAAAAAATATTTTAAAAAATATATAATATGTTCTTAAAACCATTTCTTGCACCATCTCTCTCACCACCTGCTGCCTTTTGCTTATGGAAAAAGCTGTGACAAAGAAAAACTGCCCACCCTGGCCAGTGTGGCTCAGTGATTACAGCGTCAGCCTGAGGACTGAAGGATCTCGAGCTCAATTCCTAGTCAAGGGCACATACTTGTGTTGCAGGTTAGACCCCGGACCCAGTCAAAGTCTGGGTCAACTACCTAGGACTGCTTTACAGTTCCCCAAAGAGTGTCATGTTCTAAATAACCTATATTCTAAACTGTCACATCAAAGTTTCTCTCTCTTCCCTCCTTCCCTCCCCTCCCCTCCATTCTCTCTGGAAAAAAGAAAGAAAAATTGCCTAATTTATTCTCATCCTTCTCCTATCCAGCCCAAGCTACACGTACAGTGAGCGAACTCTAAAGTAAATATAGGCAGTTTTAAATAGTACATATAACATGAAAATCTCTGAAAGTATTTATTCATATATTACTCCCTCATCTATTAGCCAATTTTGGTACTTCAAAAGCTTCCACCCCATCTCATTTTCAATTGGCAGAAAGAAACATTCCTTACATATTTAGTTTACCGTGGTAAAATAAAAATTAATTAACTGATCCTCCCTAGTGCTCAATTCAACAATAGTGAGAATTCAAGATGGGGCAATTTTCAGTTGTTCTATAGCTTTGAATCCTCTAAATTCAAGACAGCATGGGGAAGAGAAATACAGAAGTCACTGAGAAAAACACAGAGAGAGAACCTCAAACTAGAGCAGCACTTAATACAATTTTATGCAATGATGCAAATGTTTCTGTATGCAATGCCCAATATAAGCATTTAAAATGTGGCCATGCCCTAGCTGGTTTGGCTCAGTGGCTAGAGTGTCAGCCTGAGGACTGAAGGGTCCCAGGTTAGATTCCGATCAAGGGCACATGCCTGGATTGTGGGCTCGATCCTCAGTAGGGGGCGTGCAGAAGGCAGCCAATCAATGATCCTCTCTCATCATTGATGTTTCTATCTCTCTCTCCCTCTCCCTTCCTCTCTGAAACCAATAAAAACATTTTTTTAAAAATTAAAAAAATAATAAAAATAAAATGTGGCCAGTGCAACTAAGGAACTGAATTTTTTTTAAGTTTACATAGCTATATATGGCTAGTGGCTACTGAGCAGTAAAGACTTACAGGTTCAAAGGTGGTAAGAATGGAGAACAAAATAATTGGACTTTTCTACAAAATTACAAACAGCAAGAAGTACCCCAAATCTAATTATAAATGTTAACAGGCCAATAAGACAAAATAAAACACTAAACCCAAAATATGTATTTTTGTCCTTACCTCTTTAAGGTTATTTATTTGTTGGATATAGCTAGTCTGTGCAGCCTCCAACTGAGTAATATACCAATGCTGGTCCCGGCATTTTTGAAAGAAAGTTGGTGAACGAACCTGAAACCTTAAAAAAATAGCTGCACATGAAAAATAATCCAAATAATAAAATATCATCAAACAAGCCTTGAATCTATAACTATAAATTCTAAAATTTTAAGTTTCATTATCATGTGAGGCCAAAATTCAAAATGTACTCAGAGCTCCTCATATTTCCCATTTATACATGTACAAATTATAGTAAAATAAGGTTCTGTAAAGTCATCTATAAATCAGTTGTCTAAACTTAAACTGTAGAGTTCTAAAGAAATACTATTACATATCATGGTTAACCTACTAAAGCATTATTTATTATAATAATCTAGCTAAAATACAAGGTTGATCATGACTCAAGAACAGGACCATACTATGCAGGAAGGAGGAAGCTAACATTTCTTGACTAGGTCAGGCCCTAGCAAAATAGGTAGTTTTTAGGCACTGCCCTTTTTCCTTCCTTCTTCCATCTCAATTCCCCTATTTCCTGTTCCTCAGTAAAAAAATGACTTAAAAGGTCAACTGCCCAGAACTGCTTTACAGTTCCCCAGTCTCATGTTATAAATAACCTATATTCATGTTCTAAATTATATTCCCAACCCCTCCAGAGAACACAAAATCAAAACTCTGCATATATCACAATATAGTATATTTTAGCTAGAGTTAAGAAAAAAAACAAATATCTATATTAATGCCTATGGTGAATAAATGACAGGGTCTTAATCTATTCAGAGCTATCTCTGTATTTAAAAAGCTAATATGTATTAAAGCAAAAGAAGCCTTCCACCTTTGTTATATAGCCAAATATGACTCCAATTACAGTGGAAAAAAATTACAGTAACATATAAAGATGCTTCTAAAGAGTAACAAGAGGCAAGGCTGATTTGGAAGCTTGCAAATCCTCTTTCTAGTCTTGCCAATCTTATGTTAACTACCATCCCATTCTTTTCCTACAATTTTACAGCTAGTGTAAGAAGCTACTGACCATCTAACAGTTATCGGCAGCAGGTGTCTATTTTCCGTAAGGATAGTCATGCAGCAGAGAGTGGAAAAAGTTTACTGGACCACCATTCTGAGTGGATAATGCCTAGCCAGTATCCTATATAATAAAAGCCTAGTATGCAAATTGTTCGACCAGGAGTTCGACCACTCGCTATGACATGCACTGACCGCTAGGAGGCGGCGCGGAACATGGTGGGCGTGGGCGATGACGCGTTGGCAGCAGGCGGGCAGTGGAGTCGCTGCCGGCCCCGATGGGCCCCGACAAGAGTGGGACTGCAGCGGGATAGTGGAGCAGGTGAGTGGGTGGTGCCAGGCCAAGGCGGGTGTGAACAGGGGCCTGATTACCCCAAAGACAGCGACGGCGGCAGGAGGGGGGGCCACCACCTGGCTCACAGGCACTGAGGGAACTGGGTGGGCGGCCCAGCCACAATCAATCATCCCACCAATGGGATGGTGGAGCAGCCAAGCCACAGTGGAGTGCCAGGTGGGGCTACAAGGCTAGGAGTGCGAGCTAGAGCCCAATCCCCACAGGCTACCCCGAGGGACCTCACCCATGCACGAATTTGTGCACCTGGCCTCTAGTACACGAATAAGATCTTTGAATGACTAATAAAAGCATGGTCAACCCTCAACATTTTTAGTGCCAAAACAAAAGCAAGCAACCCTGGCCAGTGTCTCTCAATGGTTGGAGCATCAGCCTGCATGCCCAAGGGTCAAGGGTTTAATTCCTGGTCAAGGGCACGTACCTAGGTTGTAGGTTCACTCCCAGTCGAGGCATATGCAAGAGGCAACTAGTCAATTTAACTCTCTCACATACATTTTCCCCTTTCTCTCTTTGTCCCCCACCCCTTCCACTCTCTCTGAAAAAGCAATGGAAAAAATATCCTCAGGTGAGGATTAACAACAAGAACAACAAAACGAAAGCAAGCAGAAGATAAAATTCCTTAACTTTTTTTTATATAAAATAAATTGTTATTGATTTCAGAGAGGAAGGGAGAGGGAGATAGAAACATCAATGATGAGAATCATTGATCAGCTGCCTCTTGCATGCCCTCTACTGGAGATCAAGTTAAAACTCGGGCATATGCCCTGATTGGGAATCAAGCTGTGACCTCCTGATTCATGAGCCACACTGGCTGAGCTACACTTTTTTTCTTCCGTTAAAATAAAAAATAAATACATATCTATATGCTAATTGTTCCTCCAACCGTTTGACCAGTCACTATGATGCGTACTAACCACCAGGGGGTAGACGCTCCAACCAGTAGAGTCTATTTTTTAAGTATGCAAGCCCCCATTTGTAACATCAAATTAAAACATCTTGTAATGATGCCCAAAATTTCTGACTTGTGACGGTTACCCCAACATTAAATGGGGCTGTTGTGGTATGATAGTGTTTATGTTCTGTCCTTTCTTGCAAATAACACACTAACTAGTATCACTTAGTTTGATTCATCTCTATTCCCTTACTTTTCATTTGCTGTTATCTAGAAGGAACTGAAAATATTTTTGTGAAATTCAGCTTATAAAACCTGTCACCTTAATGTCAAGTGAAGAAAAAAAGCAAGTGACCGTGTTTTTGATTTGCAAATAGTGAGGTTGCAATAAGTTCAATGGATAAATAGAACCTTACTATATTTATTAGAAGTAGTAGTTTCCTTTTTATGGAATTACTAACTAAATGTCAAACACATTTCTAACTTAAATTATTCACTGACTACACAGGACTCCTGAAAGAAATGGTTAAGAACATAGTAAGATTATAGTTGGTATGAACTTCAATATTCACCTTTGTTAAATAGACTTTTAAAATAAAGTTCTGGTGACATTATTCCCTCATGATAAAAACCACAGTATCAAATGTTTCCTATTACCTTAAAATTACTGTATCATTTTGTCGATTCAAGTATCCTTCATTTGCAAGTAAGTCCAAACGGAAAAATCTATTATAACCCCAGCATTCTCCAACTTCAAAGTCAGATGCAAACTCTCGAATGATGTTTTTCGTAGGATCATTGCAGGACTGATGAACCATTTCTACACGATATTCATATCTAACATTAAAAAAACTGAATATTAATATAGTTGGTAAACCAGAATAAAAAGACTCATCAAAACATTATGGTCATTAAGTAATTACCTGAGAAGAAACTTTATATACAATTACATTTCTTTCAGAAGGATTGTATTATTTATAAAGACAGCAGTGTTATGAATGGCCTATCCCAACATGACTGGCAGTAGGTCTCTCTTTCCTCCCAATATTGTTTATCAATATAGCAGGTATGAAACATCACCTCAGTAAATAAACAAATTTGTATAAAATAGTACTTTCAAAGTTACTTCTGTTTGTTTTAGCAAAGCTATATGCTTTTTCATATATTCATTACCTATATTTCTTCACATGTAAAAATTCTGCCATTTCCTTTGAGATTTATCACCATGCAATTTTAAACTAAATAGTAAATTTTAAATACTCTATTTTTCCAATTCAAGTTAAAATAAATTAACTATGCATTCAGAAATTCAAGCCTATAAACACTTCTAACAGAAAATAAGTATAAATTGGGAAAGCCAATATATTCAGATTTCCCTATCTTATAAAGTATAAAACTTTCAAGTCTCCAAACTCATTTTTACTAAGAAAGCATTATTATTACAAAAAGAAAGAAAAGTGAAGAAATAAAGATAATCAGAAGGAAGACTCAACACTAATGTGGACAAAAAAGAGGTTCTATGGAAAATAACATCACAGGGTAATGTGATCATAAATTCCTAAGTGCCCAGGTCATGGTGGGTAGTCATGCAGCAGGCCTATAATGTCTTTAGCAAGGTTTTAAGCCAGCCCTGTCCATTGTTCTTGTGCATCTAGGTTAATACACTTAGAAGTAATACCCCCTGAAGAGGTAAAGGGGTTAGTAAGCCTCAAGAAAGCACACAATCTTAACTATCCTTAATAGATTCCCCACCTTGCTTTCTCCAATCTTTCTCCCCTCCTAATTTCAAATGCATAAAAGCTGCTGCAAGCCTGCTATTCTTGGGAGCATTTGAAATCCTGTTCACCAGCATATGTCATCAGTCTGGCTCAAATACATTTTTATAAAAATTCTCTACAAGTTTGTACATTCTTACATCAGTAGTAACCAAAATGCTTCTCCTTTTTGGCGGAGGTAAATTTTGTATCTGTGTGTGTGTGCTTTTAATTTTATTTTTCAATTACAGTTTACATCCAATTTACTTTATATTAGTTTCAGGTGTACAGCAAGGTGGAGGTAAAATTTTTTTTTAATGTGTTTTTATTGATTTCAGAGACAGGAAGGGAGAGGGAGAGAGAGAGAGAGAAACATCAATGATGAGAATCATTGATCGGCTGTCTCCTGAACATCCCCTACTTGGGATCTAGCCCACAACCTGGGCATGAGCCCTGGTCAGGAATCAAACCATAACCTCCTGGTTCATGGGTCAACACTCAACCACTGACCCACACCAGCCAGGCTGGAGGTAAATTTTTTAAAAAACACAAGAGCTCAACCTGCTATTTCTGCTGGCAAAGTAGACTTAAGAAAAAAAATTACAGCTCTTTACCTACAAATACCATGTGTTAGTATTTCTTTAAGCACTGTCAAATTATTTTTATATTAGTGTCTCTCATGTGTTATCTAGATTGATGACACAAAGAACTAACCAGTACAAAAGCTGTGATATTTTTTTGACTGTCTACATTTTATAGAAGTCATGAAGCCAGCTCCGTAGTACAAAGGGTACCATTATATGTCCAGAAATAAACTCAAATATTCATGCACAATTGATTTTTGACAAGGGTGCCAAAATCTTTCAATAGAAAAAGAAAAGTCTCTTCAACAAAAAATTAACTCAAAATGGATCAACAACCTAAACGTAAGGGGTAAAACTTATTTTCAGAAGAAAACATGGGGATACATCTTTATGAATTCAAATTTGGCAATGGATTTATAGATTTGACTCCAAAAGTATAAGCAACAAAAGAAATCATAGATAATTTAGACTTCATTAAAATGAAAACTTTTTGTGCCCCAAAGGACATTATCAAGAAAATGAAAAGATAACCTACGAAATGGGAGAAACTATTGTCAAATCATATACCTGATAAAAATTTAGCATATGAGATAAAGAATACTTATAACAATTTAATAACAAAAAGACAAGTAACCCAATTTAAAAATGAGCAATGAACTTGAAAAGACGTTTGTCCAAAAAAAGTTATATACAAAGGCCACTAAGCACATAAAAAAATGTTCGATTTCACTGGTCATTAAGGAAATGCAAATCAAAACCACAATTAGATACCACTTCATACTAGGATAGACATAAAATATATTTAAAAATGGAAAATAAATGTTGTTGAGGATGTGGAGAAAAACAAATTCATGTAAATTGCCAGTAGGAATGTAGAATGGTACAGCCATTGTGGAAAACAGTCTGGCAGTTCCTCAAAATGTTAAACACAGAATTACCATATAAACCAACTATTCCACAATTAGGTAGACATTAAAAAAAGAAAGCATATGTCCCTATAGAAACCTGTACATGAATATTTATAGAATTATTCATAATAGCCAAAAAGTGAAAACAATCCAAATGTCCATCAACAAACCAATGATTAAACAAATTGAGGTATATATGTACACTGGGTATTATTCAAACATATTCTCCTATATAATAAAAGGCTAATGTGCAAATCAACTGGACAGCAGAACGATCGGTCACTATGACGCACACTGACCACCAGGGGGCAGATGCTCAATGCAGGAGCTGCCCCCTGGTGGTCAGTGTGCTCCCACAGGGCAAGTGCCACTCAGCCAGAAGCCCTGAGCCAGGCTCATGGATGGTGAGCACAGTGGCAGTGGTGGGAGCCTCTCCTGCCGCCACTGTAGCGCTAAGGATGTCTGACTGCTGGCTTAGGCCTGGACTGCAATAGGGCGCAGGTCAGGTTGAGGGACCAGCCCCCCCACCTCCGTCCCTGCCCCAATTGCATGAATTTCGTGCACTGGGACTCTAGTAAAGGAATAAAGTTCTGATATATGCTTCAACATGAGTGAACCTTGCAAACACTATGCTAAGCCAAACACAAAAGTTACAATATTATATGAACTTTTATACGAAATATCCAGAATAGGCAAATACACAGAGAGAAAGCAAAGTAGTATTTGTCTAGGAATGGGGGAAGGAAAGAATGGGCAGTGTTTACTTAATGGGTATAGGGTGTTCTGGGGTGAGGAAAACATGCTGAAATTAGAGAGAGGTGGTAGTTGTACGACACTGTAAATGCACTACATTTCACTGAACTGCATATTTTTATATGGTTAATTATATTTCATGTAAATTTCACCTAAAAAATAAGTTTTACTATTTTAAAAGTGAGTAGTGAAAACCTCAAAACTCACAGAGAAACAATCAAGAATACTGAAAAATTTGGGAAGATATTAATGCAGATGGTCAAATACATCCAGGAAAAGGATAGGTAGAAATTTAAAGTCAATATAAAAGTTTTTGAAAAATCAGTTCCTTTGTATGAAAAATCATATAATGCTTGAAAAAAAGTCATTTTTTCTCTGCATTAGTTCTTTAAAATCATGACTAATATAGACCTATTTTTCTAATAAATATGGCAATTAATCCAAGTTAAATTACACAGCACCTTGACTGCAATCTTAGATAAAACTAAAAACTTAAATTGGAATATTCCAACTTAAATTCTTTCCTTCTATCAAAATGAAAGTCTGAATAAATTTAACAACTGTTAAGTTAAAATTTTAGTCTGACTAAAATTACTCCCCCAGAAAAATTCTACTCTTTCCTTCAACCACTCAAATTTCTGTTTCTAAAACAAGTCACTCAGCATATACTGTTAAGAGTCAATTCCAGGATGTCACTCAAGTGCAGATTTCCTCTGAAAGCCCACACACATGTGAATGCTAACACATACCTATTATATTGAGAAACTGAAGCATAATAAAATTATGAAAAAGTACTTCTGCAGGGTCCCAGGTGATATTAAAATCTACTAGACAATGATACAATAATTTTTTATTCCCTATTTTGACAGTTAAACTACCTCAACTGTTAAACTCTTAATTGCATAATTAAATGACATTTCAGTATTTGATGAAAAAGTATTCAAAACTCTTCTCTAGGATTACTGAAGCATTAAGAGAATTAACAGATAAGATATCTGCTTTTTTCAGAACTTAACTTACCACAGTCTAGATTTGTTATTATACCACTGCATATACAGTATCAGAACCATGTTCTACCATTCTGTCCTTTATGCTTTAGTTGTCATGTATTTTACTTCTACATTTATAAACCGTAAAATACAATGTTAATATTTGTTGTTTAAATAGTGAATTATCATTTAAAGTTATCTTAATAGTAAAGAAATTTTTAAGTTAACCAAGCAATTTCCATTTCTGCTGTTCTTAATTTGTTTAGATTCAGATGTCCAACTAGTATTATTTTCCTTGTTAATGTACAGCAGTTGCTTTAACATTTCTTATAGTCCATGTTTGAAAATACGCCTGAAAATGTCTTTACCTTACCTTTATATTTTCAAAGATATTTTTGCGGGGTACAAAATCCTAAATTTTTTTTTTCCTTCAGCCTTTCTAAGAAGTCCCTTTATAATTCCACTGGTATTGTTTCCAGTGAAAACTCTTGATTTCATCCTTACCTTTGTGCCTCTATAAATGCGATTTTTTTCCACTGCTAGTTTTTTGTTTGTTTGTTTTCTTAAATATTTTTTTATTGATTTTTTGCAGAGAGGAAGGGAGAGGGATAGAGAGTTAGAAACATTGATCAGCTGCCTCCTGCACACCTCCTACTGGGGATGTGCCCACAACCAAGGTAAATGCCCTTGACCGGAATCGAACCTGGGACCTTTCAGTCCGCAGGTCAACGCTCAATCCACTGAGCCAAACCGGTTAGGGCTCCACTGCTAGTTTAAGATTTTCTGTTTATCAATAGTTTCGAGCAATTTTATTATAATGTGCTTTGATGTTCCCTTCATGTTTCATCTGCTTGTAGTTAATTGAGTTTCCTAAATCTGTGTGTTTAAATTTTTATCAAGTTTAGAAAGTTTTCCCCATTTTTCCTTCCTTTAAGGACGAAAGTTATCTATACACTAGTAGAGGCCCGGCGCACAAAAATTTGTGCACTCAGTGGGGTCCCTCAGCCCAGCCTGTACCCTCTCCCAGTCTGGGACCCCTCGGGGGATGACCACCTGCTGACTCACCCCACTCCCCGGGGGATTGGGCCTAAGCTGGCAGCCAGACATCCCTCTGGCAGCCCGGGAGCCCTCGAGGCATGTCCACTTGCCAGCGGGGAGCAGGCCTAAGCTGCAGTTGGACATCCTTAGCGCTGCTGAAGAGGCGGGAGAGGCTCCCGCCACCACCACTGTGCTGGCAGCTGGCAGCCTGGCTTGTGGCTGAGCAGAGCTCCCCCATGTGGGAGCACACTGACCACCAGAGGGCAGCTCCTGCATTGAGCGTCTGCCCCCTGGTGGTCAGTGTGTGTCATAGTGACCAGTCATTCCCAGTCTTTCTGCTGTTAGGGTCAGTTTGCATATTACCCTTTTTATTATATAGGATTAAGTTGTTTCAGGTTGTTCTGTTTTGGAATTTGTTTTTCTATGTTTCATCTTGGGCAGTTTCTATTGCTATGCCTTCAAGTGTGAGTAATCTTTTCTTTTGCAATATCTAATCTGTCATTCATGCCATCCAGTATACTTTGCATTTCCAATATAATTCATTTTCAAGTTCAATTTGAGTCTTTTATATATCTCTACTTAACTTTTGAACAAATGGAATAGTTAGAACTGTCTTAAATGTCCCTGTTTCCTACTTCTCACATGAAAACCAAGCTGTCTTTTTTAAAGCCAGACATTCAAAGATTTCAAAAAATCTAAAACACAAGCTTTCTCATCAAATATTATTTCACTTCAAAAAAGTTATATTCATGAAAATGGTCTTTATGTTAACACGTAATTATAATTTTTAAGTGAATTAATAAAATTTTTAAAATCTTGTTTTAATTTCTAATTCAGATAATATCAATAGATATAATCCACATAAAGAAAAAGTTCTTGCTTAATTTTGATTGATTATTCTCATTATTGGTTATGTCTTCCCATCTCTTTGAATGCCAATTAAACTTTGATTGAACAGCACATATTGAATATTTTACTTTGTGGGGTGCTGGACATTTTGTGATCTTACAAATTTTCATGAGCTTTGCTCTGGGGTACAATTATTTGAAAATATGATCCTTTGAGATGTTGCTTTTATTTTTTAGGTAGGTCTAGAGCAGTGTTCAGTCTAGAACCTAGCTGTTCCCCTCTACTGAGGCAAATGCCTCATGAATTATAAATTTCTCCACTGTAATAGTGGGAACAGACAGATCCTGGCCCTGTATGAGCACCAGACACCACTTCCTGTAATCCTTTCAGATTATTTTTTCCCCAAACTCAGCTTCCTCACAAATGAGCCCTAAACAGTACTCTGCTGAGTACTTGAAGGGAACACCCTACAGATCTCTGGAGCTCTCTGCCTATGCAGCTCTCCTCTCTGTTATTCTGTCCAATACACTCTAGCTACATTGGTCTTCCTGGACACTCAGTACTGTCTACTCCGTTCAGGGAGTCTGCCACACTATCTCAGTTCACCCTCCTGAAAATTCTCTCACGGCTGTAAACTGGGGTAATCATAGAACTCATCTGTCCATTTCTTATCTATTGGGAATTGCTTCCATTGGTTGCCTCATGTCCAGTGCCTAGAAAATGTTTATTTTTCTCTTTCCTTTTTGGTTATTGCAAGAGAAAGGGTTACTCTTCTATTACTCCATTATAACTGAAAGCAGACATTTCATATCAAATCAATAGATTTTAATGTAATAAAGTCAAATTTACTAATATGGTTTTAGATTCCACATTACAAATTACATTTACCAAACAAGCACTCGTTCAATTTGGTGTAATGTCAAAGAAGAGTCACAATTATCTAAAACTGCTTTTTCAAATGTTCCTCCCTTTTTTACCACAAGAAAAATTTTTTTATTACTTTGGTAACAAAGACTTATTGTTATTGATCATTTCTCAGTGCATAAAAATACTGAATTATTATATTGCACACTTGAGACTAATATAATGTTATGTGTTAATTAGACTTCAATATTAAAATAAGTATGTTTATCCTTAACAAAAAGGAGATTAGTGGTTGCCCGGGACAGGGAAAGAGGAATAGGAAGTGACTGGTAATGGGTATAGAATTTCTTTGTGGGATGACAAAAATGTTATAAAATCAGATATTAGGGATGTGTTGTAGAACTTGGGGAATAACACACAAAAAAAATCTACTGAATTGTACACTTATTTATAAGATAAATTTTATGGGAGTTAAATCATATCTCATTAAAAAAAACTTTTCTCAACTGCATGATATTCAAAATCTGTGAGGCTAGATTTTATATATAGACTTCAACCAACAGAACTTATTGCACACAAATTAAATATAGAAGCAGATATGGGAATCCAGCCATCTTCTTTTTAAGTATATATCAAGAGATTTCCAAAAGTGCAAAATACATATATTTTTATCAGGAAAAAAATATTTATGTTAATAAACAATAGGTTATTATTTTTAAATTAATACAATTTTTGTATTTTTTCCTGTGTTTTAACTTCTAATTCAGAAAGTATCACTAGATATAACACCCATAAAGAAAAACTCATTGGGGTTCCCAATAAATTTTAAGAGTATAAAGAGTCCTGAGGCCACAGAATTTGAGAACTGCCAGTCTATGTCATCATCCTATTCCTGGGATGTACACTTTCACAAATATAATACAGTAATTAACAAAACAGTTACTAAAAAAATTATAAAGAGGAATGTACCAGTATGTAAACACACACTAAAGTTTGTTATTTAATCACATGTCTTACTTGGAAGTTTCAGGCAAGCCAGCTGAGAGTTCCAGAAACACAGATAAGTAGTAACCACGAACAACTCCATTTCCATCCTAAAAAAAAAAAAAGTTATAGAAATACAAATTGCAGCCACAATTAAAAAAAAAAAATACAGACTAATATATGATATTTGGATTGGGAAGTACTTCTAAACTTAGAAGCAATAAGAAAAATAATAGAAAGACCAAAAGATTTGATTTTGTAACAATTCAAAACTTTTTTACATTAAGAAAAACACCTGATGGCTGCCTTTCCAGCCACTTTCTGATGTAGAGAGGCATAACATGCACTCTTGTGTCTTGCTGTATATGTTATTGTTAATAATAAATGTTCCCTCCTGTTCAGATTGACAACAAAGTGGCACAGAAGCCAACTTGAAGAGATTAAATATGTGTAAATCCATGAGTTCATAATATTTTTTAAAACCTAATCAATCACTTTCAGAGAATATGGAAAACTGGTAAATAACAGGAAAGAATCCTGCCTCTTCTAAATGAACTGTTATTGATTAATCAAATAATAAAGGAAAGTATCTCTTTATAAAAGTATGACAACTAATAAGTAAAAAAAAAAAAAAACCCCATAAAATGAGAATATCACAGTTTTTGTTGTTGTTGTTTTGTTTTAAAATATATTTTATTGATTTTTTACAGAGAGGAAGGGAAAGGGATAGAGTTAGAAACATCGATGAGAGAGAAACATCGATCAGCTGCCTCCTGCATACCCCCCACTGGGGATGCGCCCACAATCAAGGTACATGCCCTTGACTGAAATCGAACCTGGGACCCTTGAGTCCGCAAGCCGACGCTCTATCCACGAGCCAAACCGGTCAGGGCAGAGAATGTCACTGTTTTGAGTGATATAGGCAATGAGCATCAATAGCTGCCAATACCACAAAGAGATGCGACTAGACATCATGTGATTTAAAAAACCAGCACTACTTACATTCTTGCCATAGGAATGAACTATGTATCTCATAATGCCACTGAATCCAGCTGCCAATTTACAGGAAATACATAGATCAAGGGAACATACTGAAATATACAATGAGTATGCAATTAGCATACGTGTGCTCTGATGGCTTTCTGTATTTTATTTTTAAAAACGCTTTTAAGATAAGAATTTTAAACATGTCTTCTGAAGACAAGAATCTTCATACAAACAAAAAATAAGAGTCAACAATGTCTGGATTCATACTGTTCATATTTAATTCACTTTTCTGTAGAATTAGTAATAGAACTTATAAAGAAACATTAAAATTGTCTTTCTTACTCCACCAAAAAAGTGAACCAGTGTACTACAGAACCCTGAAAGAAAGATCTTCGGTTTAAAAGAATTATTAAAAATAGGAAAAACTTACTGGGTAAACTTTTAATCTCCAACAAAGTCCTGAAACTTGAAGAGGTGGACTGTAAACAGGATCTGCTCTCTGGCGTAAAGTGCTAAAGTAAAAGAAAACCAATCAAATCAAAAGATCAAAACCAAAACCAACCACTTTACTTATGTTACTTACTTCAAGCCATGGACAAAGTAAAAGGTGACTAATCAAGTCAAGATTACACTGGATAAATTTATATATAGTTGCATTTAGAAATAAAATAAAATTTAATAATACTGAAATATTCAGCAGTATCTTCAGTTTCAGGTCACCTCAAAACTGTGATATTTAAGAGAAAAGGGAAATAAGTATACTAAATTTAATTACCATTTCAACAAGTAATCTTTCACCAATAAAGAAGAAAAAAAAAGTCTCTCTTTCATATCCCTAGTAGTATAATTATCCTTTTTTTTTTAATGGAAAAACAAAAAGAGCATGTGCTAAATCTTAATGTATGTGGGGAAAGTCTTGGAAAGTTTATATTTTAGCCACAAAATTATCCCATAAGAAAAACAAATTATATATGAAGTGGTATAAATTCTGTTTGCCTTATTTTGATGGTTATCACCTCCTGGAATTTTCCTCCCCAGGCAAGACCTTATATTCTTGGTATGCAGCCCTTGAAGACAAATTTCTAGGACCTTTTTGTTTTATGGTCTTCATTCATAATCTTAGAGAAAAAGCAATAATGGCTAAAAAAAAAATATTAACATGTAAATTACAAAGCTTAAAATGATGACTTCTTGTCCTCACTTTGAGTTCAGAGAAAATGGACCCAAATGGACTTGTTATTATCACTTTTATTTCTAAAGATGGGTAAGGGGCTCATCGACCCCTATCATCCCATTCACCCCATCTTAACAAAGGCCAAGTGGACCCTATTGTATAAGACATGACTCCCTTCCCCTGACTAGAGAAGCAATTGGTCCTGAAGAAATAATACAATCCAAACAAATGACCATTATGCTTCTAATAGGAAATTTGTTTCTTCTAAGACAACACTGAGTGTCACAGTTCATTAGTCTATATCCTACCCTGGAATAACACCTTCCTGGCACATACTAAAATCCAGAGTTGTCAAAAACTCTTACCTGAAATTCTCTAAAACAAAAGTAGCTGAATCATAAGATGGTACTAATTCACTAAAAAAAAAGGAAAGGCAAATTATTATTTGGCTTCTGTAAGTTTAACATTTCATTTAGTTAAAAAACAAAGTCCCTCAATAATATCTTAAAATTTTTATTAAATTAAGTCCCTAAGAAAATTTTTAATCCTTATTAAAAATAACATAAAATCAAATAAATTCATAAAACCATCAGAAGATTAATTACATCAAATGTTTGCAATGAAATAGAGGACTAAACAAATACTTTATAAAGTATCTTTTTTTACAAGGCAATATATAATTAAGTATTAAAATAAGTATAAGAGACAAAACAGTACTCATAAAATAGGAAAAGGAAGAAACTGGTGCTTAGGCTAGAAACCTGAAATATAGAACCAATATAAACAGATTTAAAAACCAAAAGAAACGGCCAGAGAGGGTTGGGGGGCAGAAGGGAGGGGAGTAAGAGATCAACCGAAGGACTTGTATGCATGCATATAAGCATAACTAATGGACATAAGACACTGGGGGGTAAGGGAGGGCAGGGGATTGTCAAGGGCGGGGGGAAAAAAAGGACACATATGTAATACCCTTTGTAATACTTATTATAATATTTTTTAAAAAAAGAATAATAAAAAACTAAAAATAAAAAAAAAATAAAAAAAAAATAAAAACAGAGGTAGGATCTGGTAATAAAAAAAAAAAAGAATTGACATATCAAGCACATAAAAAAATTAAAAAAAAAAACACCAAAAGAAACAACAAAAACAAAAGACATCACAATAAATTCCCAAACTTCCATCTTCAGAACAAATTATGAGGAATACTGAGAGACCCTAAAGAGAATTTTTACTAGGAAATAAACCTATGCAATATTATAGGATAAGAATACATAATCACAAAAGGGGCAAGCCTTAGGATGGACTAGCACATTAACAGTTCTTGGCAAAGCAAGATTACCTCAGGCAACTTTAGTGTCATAAGGGCTTCTCCAAAGAGAAATGAACTATGATCACATAAGGTAGGCAAAATGATAGACCACCTGGCTGCTAAATATCCTTATATCATGAGAATAGTCTGTAGCATTTTCATTAGAATACCACAGAGTCACAGTCACTAAAACTTTTATGATACAGACACTGCCATACATAGTGCTGTAACATAGTGTTATACATTTAACATATAAAACTATAAATTTACCAATAAGATAAAACTGTAAGCCATTCACATCTTCTGATCTACTTACTGAAGTTCAATTCATGAAAATTTGTGATTACCAAAATAAGATATAAGATCCATCCATACCATTTTCACACTATTATACTGCCTAAAAAAATTTGTGGTTTGTGCCCTAGCTGGTTTGGCTCAGTAGATAGAGTGTCAACCTGCGGACTGAAGAGTGCCAGGTTCGATTCCGGTCAAGGGCACATGTCTGGGTTTCGGGTTCGATGCCGAGTAGAGGGCATGCAGGAGGCTGCTGATCAATGACCCTCATCATTGATGTTTCTATCTCTCTCTCCCTCTCCCTTCCTCTCTGAAATCAATAAAAATATATTAAGAAAAAATTAGTGGTTTGCCAGTAAAAATATAGATTAAAAAAATTCATTATTGTTTATTTTATGATAATAGCTCACATCTTTTTTCATGTCCTTCAGAGGTTATCTGAAATTGTGCCAATGTCAACCACTCGGCTTGCAAGTAAGGTACAGCTTTATCTTCTCATAGTTTTCTTTATTTCTTTACCTCCTCTACTCTGGTCTTTAAGATGACTGAATTTATTACTTTAAACAAAAAATTCTTATCTTTTATGTTCTACCTGAGGACAACTATACAGTCTTATTTCCTACAACACCCCACCAATAGTCCTACAAATTCTGGTTGAAATTATTTCCTTGCTATCCTCCAAATATAGCAGCTCCTATCACATCCTAAATATGTTTCAAGATCTTCTATGATTTCTTTCTAGATTATAAAGTTTTGACCACACTAGTCTTTTCAGAATTTCTGACAGAAGAGTATATAACTGAGTAACACATACTGGAATTTAAGTTACAATTCTCTACTATTTAATTTGAAATATATACTCAGTAAATTAGTTCCTCTTCCATGTCTCCTTTGCAGCACCCACAACAGCACTGAGCACATAGTCTTGAATAAATAACATTGCATTTGCTTAATGACCTTTTATTCTCCATTGTGGCTCCATCACTAATCATCAACTGATGGAATTTCACCCAGTCCCATGATCTTAAAACTTAGAACATTCACCACTGCTTTGCACATCTAAACTTTGGTCTGTAACTTAATGTCAATAAATGCGGCCTTTCTTATTTGGCCCTCTTTCTTTGCTGATCAATGCACCAACATATGAACATACCTGTTTCCTGTGTACTGATTGCCACTCATAAACTAAGTTTATAATAAAAATTATGGTTCAGTTATAAGACAAAATTTCCAGTAAGAATAAGCATTCCTGGTGAGAGGGAGTACTACAGGGACCTTCACCCATGGAAAGCTCCCTAATTATCAGATTTGTAAAAAAAAAAAAAAAAATTTTTGGTGGTTTCTTCTTTATTGATGTGCCTTCTGCCTCCTCCCTCCCAATTTCAGTCCCTTCCATCTACACCCCAAAAAAAGAAGGTAGTGAAAGCAAGGGATTGTCAAGGTTCTGAGACCCATGAGCAGTTAGAAAGGGAACAGAAACCAAAACAATCACTGCATATGACAGAGATTGATACTCAAGAAGTATAATAAAGCAGAGTTGCCTGCTATATCAATGAATCCAAACCTCAGTGCAGAATTACTTAGGATGCTCATGATTCCTTTTCTGGATACCACCACCAAAGATCATCAGAGAACAGGGCTGGGAATGCACCTTTTGGGAAAACACTACAGCTGACTCTGACACAGGTGATCTGTGTACCATAATTTGAACTGAAAACCACATTTTTATTTATGATATTTATGCCAAAACTGGTTTCATTCCACTGATGATTGAATGGGTTTTTAAAAAATCTTCAAAACTGAAATGGCTGACCACATTATCAAAAAGGCAGCCTTGGAATATTAGTGAACATCTTAGTTCACCCAGTTTTACTTAATGATAGCACACACTCAGCTCTTTTAAAATTATTCAGTGTTTTAGTAAAATATGACTACTGTATCTGGTTTGTTAATTCAGAAGGAAACAAAGACATCAATCAGTGAGAACTCCCAGAGTTCTCATCAGAAAAACTTTGTCCTTCTGTTTATAGAACTGTGGGTGGTCATGATCCTCAGGATTGCACCTGTGATCAGGAACAAGGGCTTACACCAGTGATTCTAAATCAGGGTCAATTTTGCCCCCAAGAAAATTCTGGAAATGTTTTTGTCACAACTAAAAAGGGAGAAGTGTTTCTGGTGTCACATCCTACATTATACAGGAAAGCTCCCTCTAACCCACAAAAACTCATCCAGCTCAAAATGTCATCAATGCCTAGGTTAAAAAACCCTGGCTTACACCAGTCTAGTACAACCACATATTAGAGAAAAAGGCAGCTAAACACATGAACCTCTTTATAGGGCGGCTTCTTTTTTTCTTTTTCTTTATTGATTAAGGTATTACAAATGTGCCCTTATTCCTCCATTGTCCCCTCACCCCCCCAGTCCTGAAGGCTGTTTCTTAAATGTACCACAGTTCTCAAAATGCTAGAAATGCTTGATAGTATTTCATAAGCCATCTCTAAAGTTTAAGATGAACTAAAGTCTGTCACCACAATATATTTCTCTGAAGCAGTGGTTTAACCTCTCATCTTAGGAATAAGCTGAGAGTTAAAAAAATAAAAAAAGACTACAAACTCCTATCTGTAGCCAATGTTATGGACTGAATTATGTCCCCCCAAATTCATATGTTGAAGCCCTAACTTCCAGCATGACTACATTTGGAGACCTTTAGGGAGGTATTTAAGGTTGAATGATGTAATAAGGGCAGGACCCTAACCCTAACCAGGGTTTGTTAATTAACAAACAATATGCCCCGTTTCTTTAGAAGAGGAAAAGACACCAGAGAAAGATACCTTTTCTATGCATGCAGATAAAAGGTCATGTTAAGGACAGAGCAAGGAGCCAGCTGTCTACAAGCCAAGAGGAGAGCCTCACCAGAAATCACATTTTCTAGCACTTTGATGTTAGACTTCTTCACCCCAGAACTGAGAAAATAAAATTCTGTTGTATAAGCCATCCATTTGTGGTATTTTGTTATGGCAATCCAAGCAAACTAATACGCTCACAGAGATTTTATTTCAAATGTCCAGGGGGTATGGGCCAACAGTGGTAAATTTCCAAAAGAATCCCAAGTGAATCTAACATACAACCAGTGTTAAGAACCACTGTTCTTAACATCACAGGGTAATTTAAAAATGCTTAAAAAAATATGCTGTTCAGAAGAATTCTAAGACTGCCCAGGGTAAAAACTAAAAAGATACATAAAAAGCAACCAACTATTATTTCCAGATCTTTTAGGATCTGGAGATAACATCTTATCACCATTAAAATCTTTTGGCATTTCATGCTTTATGTGTTTTCCTTTTGAGAACATACATGTAAATGAGTTATAGTCACTGTGTAATAAGATATAAGTAAACTCAAAGGTAAATAAAAGAATGGATATGAGAAAACATGGCTGGACCTTGAGAACATTATGCTAAGTAAAACAAGTCAGACAGAAAGAAAAGTGCTATATGATCTCATGTATATGAGGAATCTTTAAAAGAGAGGTCAAAAAGTACCAACTTCTAGTTACAAAACAAACAAGTTTATAGAACTATATTTTACAGCATGGTGATTATAGTAATAACACTGTATTGCATATCTGAAACCTACTAAGAGAGGTCTTAAGAAAAAAATGTTTTCTATGTATAGTGATGGATGTAAAATATAATCTAGACTAATTGTGGTTATCATTTCTCAGTATATAAAATATTATATCAGTATATCATCCTGAAACTAACAGGATGTTATTTCAATTATATCTTAATTTGAGAAAAGGAATGAACGGACAGACATGAAATAAAATGTGATCAATTATTTCTTCTCTACAGTATGGAAGATGAAGATCCAGGAAGAAACCAATTCCTAATTCACTACCACCCTCTCTTTTCACTAAAAAATGTATAAGTCCACAAGAATTTTTTTAAACCAGATTTATATGCATAAACTAAAGTTCGCTAGACCACATTATTATAAACAGAACCTTAAAAAATGAAGCAAAGAAAAACAGCGTTTTTTAAAAATGATTATGTGCATTTGCACATAAACTTAATATGAAAATGAAATTTAAAAACTGTGCCATACCTGGTAAAATCTGGTGGAACAGGAGTGGTAACAAAGGATGCCATGGGCTTGCGATGAACTTGCTGAAACATCATGAGGATCTCTGAGCTCTTAGATATCAACTCACTCTTACTACAAGATCGTAACTGTGTGAGGAAAAAAAGTACCTGACTAAATAAACAAAATTACTGTTCAGTGGCAAATAAAAATTGTTTTGGTTATATACTGAAAAAAATTAGGTTAAAAAAATAGAATGACTTAAAGTGGGTTTTAGAATGAAAAAATCTACAAAAAATCTAGGTTATTTATTTCTATTCTAAACAATATAGTCAGGGAGTAAGTGTATTTGATTTTAAAGCATTTTTCTCTCCTCATATCTTAGGGTAAATCAAATTTTAAAAAACTACCAATATACTTTGCACTACAGTGAAGCCATTAGGTATACTAATGAACAAACTCCTATAGGTTTATAGCCTTCAAATAGGTTTTCTCAAAATGTATTCCAGGGACCAGAGAAACATTAAGATGTAATGCACACACAAGAAGTTTTAAGCTATATCGATTTGGGAAACAGCCAAAGGTAAAAAAGTGATAAATCCAACTTTAGTAAAATAAGCATGGTAGTTAAGACTACTAATTTGTATTCAAAACAACTAGTTCAAAGTTCTAGTTCTGCTACAAACTAATTATATGACGCTGTCAGTTCATTTGTAAAACTGAAATAATATCTATGATTGTTTTGCTGGGTTTAACAATCATGAAGTTGAATGTGAAACAGCTTTGGAAACTATTAAGAGCTAAACTGTGTCTCCCCAAAACTCTTATGTTGCAGTCCCAATTCCTCAGAATGTAATAGTATCTATATATATATATAAAAGCCTAATATGCAAATTGTCCCCTCAGGAATTTGACCAGGAGTTCAATCTCTCGCTATGACATGTGCTGACTACCAGGGGGCAGTGCAGAACGAAGGAAGGTCCCAGCTGGCAGCCCGGGAAGGGAGGCCCTGATCGCAGGCCAACCCTAGGGACGCTACCCTGCATGAATTTCATGCACCGGGCCTCTAGCTTGGAGATAAGGTCTTTAGAAAACAGAGAGAAAGCAGCCATTCACAAACCAAACTGAAGGACCTCAGGGGAAACCAAACCTGCCAATATCTTGATGTAAACCAGCCTCTAGAACAGCCGTGGGCAAACTACGGCCCGCGGGCCGGATCCGGCCTGTTTGAAATGAATAAAACTAAAAAAAAAAAAGACCGTACCCTTTTATGTAATGATGTTTACTTTGAATTTATATTAGTTCACACAAACACTCCATCCATGCTTTTGTTCCAGCCCTCCGGTCCAGTTTAAGAACCCATTGTGGCCCTCAAGTCAAAAAGTTTGCCCACCCCTGCTCTAGAACAATGAAAATAAATTTTTATTGTTTAAGCCTCCCCCGAGGATATGTTTTTATTGACTTTGCAGTGGTTCTCAACCTTCTGGCCCTTTAAATACAGTTCCTCATGTTGTGACCCAACCATAAAATTATTTTCGTTGCTACTTCATAACTGTAATGTTGCTACTATTATGAATCATAATGTAAATATCTGATATGCAGGATGGTCTTAGGCGACCCCTGTGAAAGGGTCGTTCAACCGCCAAAGGGGTCGCGACCCACAGGTTGAGAACCGCTGCTTTAGAGAAAGAGTAAAGAGTAAGGGGGATAGAGGCGGGGAGGGGAGAGGGAGTGAGAAAGAGAAAGAAATATTGATGTGATAAGAGAAACATCGATTGGTTGCCTTCTGTACATGCCCCGAAAGGATCAAACCAGCAACCCAGGTATGTGCTTTAAAAAAAAAAAAACTTTTTTGAGGAATAACTGACATAAATGATGTAAGATAAACTGCATGTATTTAAAGTGTGTAATTTGATTAAGTTTTGACAAATGTATATACCTGTGAAGCCATCACCACAGTCAAGATAGTGAACTTTACCATTATCTCCCAAAATTTGTTTGTGCCTGTTTGTAAGCTCTCCTGTTTCCTTCCCCCTCCAGACAACCTCCTATCTGCTTTCTTTCATTATAGATAAGTTCCCATTTTCTGGAGTTTTATGTAATTGGAATCATACACATTACGTACTCATTTTATGTCTGCCTCCTTTTTTGAGCAAAATTATTTTGCAATTTGCTCATATATCAATTGTAGCTTTATTTGTAAAAGCCAAAAAAAAAAAAAGCGCAACCCAAACAGCCATAAATAGCTGAATGAAAAAACAAATCATGGTATATAACATACAATAAAATACTACTCAGCAATTAAGAAGGAAAAGCAGCCCTAGCTGGTTTGGTTCAATGGTTAGAGTGTCGGCCCACAGACTAAAGGGTCAAGGATTCAATTCTTGTCAAGGGCACATACCTTGGTTGCAAGCTCAATCCCGGGCCTGGTCGGGGTGCATGCAGGAGGCAACCAATCAATGTGTCTCACATCGATGTTTCTCTCTATCTGTACCCCCCCTTCCACTAAAAAGCAATGGGAAAAAATATCCCCGGGTAAGGATTAACAAACAAAAAAAAAAAAAGGAAAGGCAGATGAATATTGTGCTCTCTTTAGCAGCACACATACTAAAATATGAACAATACAGAAAAGATTAGTATAGTCCCTGCACAAGAGTGACACGTTAAAAAAAAAAAAAAGACGAGTATACCAAATAGTTATGTAACACTACACAATTATTTATTCATTCACTATATACTTAACACTCACCTACCAGCAAACTAAAATATAAACTCTATGGCAGGGGTGGGCAAACTTTTTGACTTGAGGGCCACAATGGGTTCTTAAACTGGACCGGAGGGCCGGAACAAAAGCATGGATGGAGTGTTTGTGTGAACTAATATAAATTTAAAGTAAACATCATTACATAAAAGGGTACGGTCTTTTTTTTTTTTTTTTTTTATTTTTTTTCATTTCAAACGGGCTGAATCCGGCCCGCGGGCCGTAGTTTGCCCACGGCTGCTCTATGGGGACAGATTTTTTTACTATTTTGTCCATTGCTATGTTCCAAATACCTAAAACAATGCCTGCTCTTTGATACTTAACTAAAATGTACTTAATAAAAACACTAAGTTTATAATAAAAATCACATAGTATATATAGGTAATTGGCAATAATATTCTGTCTCAAAGGCACCACTTAAGTCACAAAGTGAGAGACTTAGATGCTATGCACCATTCTTACAAAACAGAATAAATCTTAATTTTATTTAGTTCCCAAACCTGATGGAGAAAACATGAGAAGCATCAGCTAAATCCTATTTCATAAAAATCCCTAGTATAGCACATAGATCACAAAATCTTTTGATCTTATATAATCGCTATTAAGAAGAATTTTAAAACATATGGACAAAAAAGGGTAAAGACTTCATTACATTTAACATTTCATCACCTGGTGCTCTACCTCCTGAAGTAAGGATTCCAAAAGCTCTGTTTCTTGTGTTAGAGAAGTCTTCTGACCTATTTAAAAATAGCAAAACACCAATACTCATGCTCATTATTGTTTTAATAATAAAATTAACTTTCACGAAATACATTCAATTACAAGAAATTAATTTTAGGAAAACAAAACTTCATTACAGCTATCCTAAAAATTTTTCTCAGAGCTTTAAGAGGTTGATTCTAAATTCTAATAGCTCTGATAAGAGGATTTCAGAACCAACCCTAACTACAGTTTTAAACAAAATGTAATTTAGACTTTTTATTAAATTCATTTAAGAAATATGCCGAAACTGGTTTGGCTCAGTGGATAGAGCGTCGGCCTGCGGACTGAAGGGTCCCAGGTTCGGTTCTGGTCAGGGGCATGTACCTGGGTTGCGGGCACATCCCCGGTGGGGGATGTGCGGGAGGCAGCTGATCGATGTTTCTCTCTCATCGATGTTTCTGACTCTCTATCTCTCTCCCTTCCTCTCTGTAAAAAATCAATAAAATATATTTAAAAAAAAAAAAAGAAATATACAATGACAATATACTTTGTAAAGAAATTAATGTTATTGCTTCTTCCAAAAGGGCTATAATAGTTTAGAATAGTAAACTTTTTACTCAGTCAACTATTCTGAAATAATTCCTCCCCAAAACTTAAGTGTGGCATAAAAAAAAAAGTGGGACATATATTTATGTTTACTGTCAGCAAAACGTTATGTTCTTTGAACATAAGAAGAACCTGTAAAAAAAGAATGCCCCAAAGTTCTCAAGAAACTGGAAAAACACAGGAATAAAGGAATCATTATTACAGAAATTATTATCAAAAAGGAAGAAAGAAACTGCTTCATAGGTTAAAAAGAAAGTTAACAAGATAGGCATACTTGCCTAATCAGACCATTGTCTTTTTAAATCACAAAGTCTGAAGAGCTGGAAGCATTTCCAGTGAGGCTTAATGTTTTTGATAAGGGGAACACTTAATAGGAGGAACTTTTATTTTTAAACCAATCTTTCCCTAGCCTAAAGAACTCACCAACCTTTTCTCTTCAAAGATTGTACCTGAGCCCCAGTTACTCCAGCAGCATAGAAAAACACTCACCCATCAGTGTTATAAGCTTATTCTTCAGCTGTGTGTCTAGCCGTGCAATCATCATCTCCACTGCATTCCTAATTTCCCGAACACGCTCATCTTTTGCATTTCTTACAGCTTCTACATTTCTTTCCTAGAAAATAAACAGGTAGCAAGTTAGAATCCCAGTCTGGGCACACACCTAGGTTTGGGGTTCATTACCCAGTTGGGGCACATATGACAGGCAACCAATCGTTTTTTCTCTCTCACATCGATGTTTCTCTCTCTCTCTCCCCCCGCCCCCGCCCCCCATTCCTCTTTGTAAAATCAATAAACATATCCTCAGGTGAGGATTACAACAAAAAAATAATAAATTAAAGAAAAAAAAAGCATAAACTAATAATCCTTTTTAATAATTCATATATCATAGAAAAATCATGGCCTTAAAAACATTGTACATTAAAATGAATCAGGAAATATATTTCTTAAAATTAAATAATAAAGCTGGGCTGGTGTGGCCCAGTGGTTGAGCGTCAACCTATGAACCAAGTAGGGGACATGCAGGAGGCAGCCAATTGATAAATCTCATAACTGATGTTTCTATCTCTCTCTCCCTCTCCCTTCCTCTCTGAAATCAACAAAAATAGTTTTAAATAAACAATAAACCATAAACAATAAATAAATAAATAAATAAATAATAAATAAAAGATAGGTATGTAATTACAAAAATTGGTTAGGTAACATACAGAACACATACTCAAAGCCCCAATTATATCTCTTATATGAAACCATTTCAAACCAAAAGTTTACTAAAGCCATTTCACATCGTGCAAAACCCTAAAATAATTTAAAAAATTTTTAAACCATATCTTCAGAATTTTTCTTTTTTTAGAAGAAAAAAATAGATTTTCAAAGACTGCAGAGTACATAGAGATTTTTTAACAGCGAAACTCAGAAAAAAGCATCATTTCCTATACTTACTATTATTATAAATACAAGCAGTAAGCATCGCAACCTAGAATACTCTTCCTAATAACCACATTATAATATTGCCAAGAGAAAACAGAAAAAAAAAAGGTAAAGGCCAAATAATTTTGTAGATAGTATACATACAACTCAAAAACATTACTTTCTGTATAAAAAAAGTTATAATGATCTGAAACTTTATTCCTGCAGGGGGATAAAGATGACATCTTAAGTTAGGAATGGTCCACAAATCTCATTTATAACAATTATCAATTTGGCAACTTTAAACAAAATATATTCCAAAAGTATATATAGTATTTAAATGTTTGAAGCTTAATGAATTTTCCCATAGAACTATTATAAATGGTAAATAGCTCACCAAAACTGTTTGACCCATACAGCATCTAAAGAGTACTGTTAAATATTACTCTTTTAATTCTGCAGAGTTCTAATTCAGGACATCAGAAATAATTCATTCCTTTGCAGCAGAAACCCCAAAAGCTGGAGGCCCAAAGAATGATTAATTTAATGAGTTTCTAAAAGTCAATATTGAGTGTATAACAAAACAGGCTTATTTAACTCATTAACTGATTCTCTATTTCTGCATAAGGGACAATTCTCTGGCTTCAACTACAGAACAGGCTAGGGGTTTAGACTCTAATTCCTCGGCTAGGGTGACTATAAATATATCCTATCAAATTTTCAAATTTTGCCCGGCTGGCATGGCTCAGTGGTTGAATATTGACCTATGAATCAGGAGGTTACGGTTCAATTCCGGTCAGGGCACATGCCCAGGTTGCAGGCTTGATCACCAGTGTCAGGTGTGCAGGAAGGAGGCAGCTAATCAATGACTTTCATCATTGATGTTTCTCTCTCTCTCTCTCCCTCTCCCTTTCTCTCTGCAATCAACAAAAAATATATTTAAAAATATATATATGCCTAAAATTATTTTAAATATTAATTTCAACATCTGATTGATTTATATTATAAAAATATACATTACATAGTATAGACTATAAAAAGGATAATCATCTTCTAGTAGTAGTCTTACCACTTCTTGAACTAAGCTGATTAGTTCCATGAGACGCCGACGAAGTTTAGCTACCTCTTCATTCACTTTAGTAACATGCTGCTCGTAAATTTCCGCCAAAGGTTTAAAGGTATGTCCACCGTGCTATTTAAATTAATAAAATAGTGTAAAAAAACATTTTCATATATCGCATCTGCATTTACATTCCTTTATTAACACTCTATGAACACTAATATACTGGCAAGTATTTCCAAATGAATTTTATTTTTTTGGCTGCCTTTGTTAAAATAAGTCACAGCTTGCTTAAAGTCACTTGGCCCATGTAAAAAATCCTTCAATTGTAGATAAAGATCGTAAGCAAAATGTTTACACTGATCTAGAAATCTTCACTCATTAGAAAGAACCAAGATCCTTAATCATGACTCAAAGCAGCTGACACAACCTCATTTGTCACTCTTCTCTTGATCAGCACTAGCCTTCTGTCCTCCCATCAGGCCTTTGCAAAAGTAACTCGTACTTATTCAAAAATAATTCTCCTTCATCTTCCCTCCCAAACTCTCCACCTCCTAACTCCTACTCATCCTTTGGAACTTAGCTCAGGATTAGAGGGTCAGGTCTCATAGTTATCCATTCTTATCAGACTGTATACTTATTCCTAATATCTATTATAACAATTAAGTACATAGCTAGTTATTTGATATCTATCTTGTTAATCACTGAATACCTAGTCTCTAACACAAATGAATAAATTAGAAAGACATTTGAGGAAAAGACCCATGGTACACTATTAGCAAAAGCAATAAACCCATTCTTCATGCCACAAAGAGTTACTGCAGAGACAGAAGGCCCATACAATTTAGCCTTACAAATCCAGTTGTTTTCAAAGAACAACTTTTTAAAGCTAACAGCCTAAAATCAATTTCCTATCCAATTTATGTACTGTATTTCATCACAATCTCTGGACTGGTAAGTAGAACTTAAATTTCTATTACAAGGAATTTCCTGTAACAGAAAAGTACTTATTAGAATTGTCTTATTTGCCCAGCCGGTATGGCTCAATTGGTTGAGCCTCGGGCCATGCATCAAAAGGCCACCGGATCGATTCCCAGTGAGGGTACATGCCCAGGTGGATGGCTCGATCCAAAGGAGGGGGCATGCAGGAGGCAGCTAATCTATGTTTCTCTCTTATTGATGTTTCTATCTCTCTCACGCTTCCTCTCTCTTTAAAATCAAAACATTTTTTAAAAAGAAAGAAAAAAGAACTGTCTTGTTCAACCAAAACACCCAGCCATGGTCTCTAAGAAAAAAATGACATGGATTTTTGCATGTCCACTTAAAATATGAAAAATACTGTTTTCATTGCTTCTTACATAGAAACATTTATTTAAAGTACTAAGTTGTGGGACATGAATTTTTTCTAGTCGGCACAGGAGTATTCAAATACCAACAGAAAAGCTCTAGCTGGTTTGGCTCAGCAGATAGAGCGTCTACCTGTGGACTGAAGGGCCCCAGGTTCAATTCCAGTCAAGGGCACATGCTCAGGTTGTGGGCTCGATCCCCAGTAGGGGGCGTGCAGGAGGCAGCCAATCAATGATTCTCTCTCATCATTGATGTTTCTCTCTCTCTCTCTCTCTCTCTCTCTCTCTCTCTGAAATCAATAAAAATATATTAAAAAACAAATACCTATAGAAAACTCTGAATTGAGTTCTACTCAACCAACTTGCCTGGCATTCTCTCCCAAAAATATGCAAACTGATGACCTAAGAATGATTAATTCTCATTGCTAACAGACACCTCTAGCTGTCTGCTCCCACTATGACTAACTTTTCCCACCAAGAATCTACTGTTTATTCTCAAACCTATTTATGCTTATTGTACTTATTATTGCAAGTATATAATTTAATTTTAATTAAACAACAGGACACAAATATAAAATAAAAAGCTACTTATAGGAAAACTAACTTCAATGTTTTAGACTTGATAAAGATAGATAACTTTAAAAAACTACTTTGAATTAGATTGGAAAAAATAAAAATTTTAAAAATTAAAAAAAAATTAATTACCTAAAAAACAAATCCTAAGATCTAGAAGTTTACATTCATATTTTTCACAAAGTGTTGTTCCATTTTAAATAAACCAAAATTGAAAAATTGTGGCCAGGACATGAGATCAACTGAACTTTAATGAAATAAAATAAAATAATTTAAAAAGACCTTGATCCTACAACTAAAGATTTGCAGATGAATATATACATTTTATAATTAAAAGAAAATATTTATGTAGGGGGTACACATCCCACATCAAAATCTCCCACAAAGGCTGTTTTTCTGACATAACAGAAGGAATGATACCTTCTGCTATAAAGCAAAATAATTTAATTTTCATTCTATAAACAAAGTAAAATATTATTTTCTTATCCAAATCAAACAAGTATTTCAGTGCTTTTAGTCTCTAAGCAAAAATAGTTTGTTCTGCTCACCATTCCTCCCCAAAGTGCACACTGATGGCAGATACACTTCTTACAGGTCCAGCAAAATACACTAAGTTTTTCATGATGATTTTCACATCTATATAATATGAAAAGAAAATACAGTTATAAATTAAACTAAAATTGGAAAATAATTACCTTAACAAATTCCTAAGTTTGGGTAAACAGGTTGGTCAATTTTAAACAATTATATCTCAGGAAACAATATAAAATGTGTTCCATAGTTTCTTCTGCAAATTAAGCTAAAGAATTACAATTTTCTTAAAATACTGTTTTCATTAATCTATAAGAACTTGAAATCACATGAAAAATGCAGACTAGCCGAGGCCGGTTTGGCTCAGTGGATGGAGCGTCGGCCTGCGGACTGGAAGGTCCCGGGTTCGATTCCGGTCGGGGGCATGTACCTGGGTTGCGGGCACATCCCCAGTGGGAGATGTGCAGGAGGCAGCTGATCGATGTTTCTCTCTCATTGATGTTTCTGACTATCTCTCTCCCTTCCTCTCTGTAAAAAATCAATAAAATATATTTAAAAAAAAAAAAGAAAAATGCAGACTAGTTTTTGAATAAAGCACAAATATAACATCATTTCCCAATATTACTATAGATCATTAATTTTCAACCCTTTTTATCTCATGGCACACAAATTGCTAAAATTCTGCAGCACACCAAAAAATTTCTTTTTTGCTGATCTGACAGAAAAAATAGGTATAGTTTTGATTTATTCACACTGAACGGTTATTGTTACTATTATGTTAGCTGTTGTAATTTTTTTATTTGACAATGTAGGGGAAAACAGGTCAGTGCCCCTAACTAAATAGTCAGCTACTGCACATTTAAAAAATTCTTGCGGCACACCAACTGAAAACTACTGCTATAGATAATAAATTCTAGCCTGCTACTACATTTCTGGACAAATCAGATTATGTGTTTGTATCTACATGAGCATGTATGTACGCACAAATACTTTTCCTACATGTGGTCAATGCTAACAATAAGACACGTGATTAACTGCACAAAGTAATACCAGATCCTTCTGAAAAATCAACTCAATTTTAAAGTTTTCCCATGTTCACTTTGGCAGCACATATACTAAAATTAGAACAATACAGAAGAGATTAGTGTGGCTCTTGTACAAGGATGACACACAAATTCATGAAGCATTCCATATTTTAAAAATAAAATAGCCCAGCCAGTGTTGCTCAGTGGTTGAGCACTGACCTATGAACCAGGAGGCCATGGTTCAATTCCCAGTGAGGGCACATTGTGGGCTTGATCACCAGTGGGAGACATGCAGGAGACAGCCAATCAATGACTCTCCCTCATCACTGATGTTTCTCTCTCTCCCTTCCTCTCTGAAATCAAGAAAAAAAATTAAAAAATAAAATAAAATAAAACATTTTCCCTTAAGTTGAAGATCTAAATGCAAAGGAATGAAGATGTACATGGTTATTAACTGAACTGCATTCGCCACGTCCCAAATTCCTATGTTGAGAGCCCTAAGGTAACTGTACTTGGAACAAAGACTTTAAGGATGTTAAATAAGGTTATAAGGGCAGAGGCCTAACCCAATAGGACTGATGTCCTGACAAGAAAAGATGCCAAAAGTGTATGCAAACAGAGAAAAGGCCATGTAAGAACACAAGGAGAAAAAGCCATATCCAAGTCAAGGAGAGAGGTCTCACCAGAAAGCAAACATGACAATACCTTGACCCTGAACTTCCAGCCTCCAATACTGTTTAAGGCACCCAGTCTATGCTATTCTATTATGGCAGCCCTAGTGGAGTTTAGTTGGGTGACAATGTGAACATACTTAACACTACTGACCTGTACACTTAAAAATGGTTAAGATAGTAATGATGTTATGTGTATTTTACCACAATAAATTTTTTAAGTTTTCTCTTGCCGCCTGACAAGTGTGGCTCAGTGGTTGAGCATCCATCTATGAACAAGGAGGTCGTGGTTCGATTCCTGGTCAGGACACAGGCCTGGGGTTGCTGGCTCGATTCCCAGCAGGGGGCATGTGGGAGGCAGCCGATCAGTGATTCTCTCTCATCATTGATGTTTCTCTCTCCCTCTCCCTTCCTCTCTGAAATTAAAAAAAAAATTTATATTTTAAAAAGTTTTCTCTTGCCTTTAAACAGTGTGCCTTTAAAAGAGACAGTGTTGCATTTGTTCTGTTCATCATTAAGCTTAGAGAAAATACCTAAATAGGTCTACATTTTATATTCTCATTTATAAGTAATATGAATATCCAATAGAAAATCAGTAAAAGTATGAAGAAACAGCAGATTAGATACTGTCTGGAGGCTAATTTAGCAGGATTTCCACACCACCAAATTTAGGATACATCTTTTAAAATATAGGAAATTTATCAGAACAATTCTTAATCAATGACCTATAGGCAACTTCAGCAAACCCAAGGAGAGCCAGTAGGCATCAAGAGGCAAAGAAGAGAGATTATTAGCACATCAGCAACTGTGGCAGTTCCACACCTTTTATGAAAGCCTCTGATAAAAGAAGCCATTCAAGAGTTAGAAAGATATTTCCAAATAGTGATACCCACACAACATCAAATGAAAACTATCTGTGTTCACCTACAAAACTAAAAAAAATAAAATACCTTTAAATAGTTTCATTAAAATAACATGTACCAAAATATATGAAATACTTAAAGAAATTGAGGACATACTTGTCCTTTTCATTTTCTTCATGTTTGGTGAGACTACAGAGTTGAAGAGTATCAAGCTGCTGTGTTACTTCTTCTGCCCAACGACAGTTTACTAGTTCTCGTATCTGGAGTGGAGCGCTAGAGAGAAGATATATATATTTTTTTAATTCAGGAATTTGAGTTAATTTTCTAAGACAAACACATTCTAGCCCGACTAGCATGGCTCAGTGACTGTCGACCTATGAACCAGGAGATCATGGTTTGATTCCCAGTCAGGGCACAAGCCCAGGTTGTGGGCTCAATACCCAGTAGGGGCTGTGCAGGAGGCAGCCAATTAATGATTCTCATCATTGATGTTTCTATCTCTCTCTCCCTCTCCCTTCCTCTCTGAAATCAATTTTAAAAATGTATTTTAAAAAAAGAGATACAATTTTCATCTAGCAAAAGGACAAAAAAAGATAGATTGGTAATATACAATATTGGCAGGAATGTGAGGAAAAGGCACTTTTGTATCTTTTATTGGGAATGTAAAATGGTAAAAACCTATTCTTCAGCACAATCTGGCATCATAATTTGAAATTACCAAAAGTGGAAACAATCTAAATGTATCTCAATATAAGCATAAATAAATAACATATGGTCACATAATAAATAAATCAAACATTTTTAAATTTAAATGACATGTGTACATCAAGAAAGATAACACTATATTTTATATTTAAAAAACAAAACAGTACTATATCATTTGTGTTGTAAGAAAATACATACACACACACACACACACACACACACACACACTAGAGGACAGGAGCACGAAATTCATACACGGATAGGGTCCCTAGGCCTGCCCAGCAATCAGGTCCAATTGGGGCCTCCCAGCTGCCGGCTGGGGCCTTCCTTTGTTCCTCGCTGCCCCCTGGTGGTCAGCGCACATCATAGTGAGCAATCAAACTCCCAGTCTCCTGGTCAAACTCCCGCAGGGACAATTTGCCTAATTAGCCTTTTATTTATATACCAGAAGCCCGCTGCACGAAGATTCACGCACTAGGCCTTGCTTCCCTTGGCTGCTGGCACCAGTTTTCCTTCGGCACCCGGGACCCAGGCCTTTGGTCCGGCCGCAGTGAGGCTTGGCTTCTCCGCTATGGCCGCAGCGAGGCTTGGCTTCTCTGCAGCAGAGAAGCAAAGCCTCTTCAGTCTTCGCTCCGTGCCTGCACATGCAAATTAACTGCCATCTTTGTTGGGTTAATTTGCATAGTCACTCTGATTGGCTGGTGGGCATAGCAGAGTGATACCAATTTGCATGTTTCTCTTTTATTAGTGTAGATATATCAGTACACAGATAGAAAAATGTTTAGAAGATTAGAAACAACCCCAATAATAAGTGTTATTTCATGACAAGACTAGGTGAAGAATAACAGAATCAGAAGACTTTTAAAAAATATTTACCTATACTATTAAGATTTTTTAAAACCAGAAACCTTTTTAAGTTAAACATGATTTTCTAAAATAAGGTAAACCATTTAATGCTTTCTACATAATTCTAAGATAAATTAGTTTATGCTGTATCTAGAGAGATTATTTTCTTTTCAGCTGTATTCACAAAGAGGCAAAATGAAGCAGATTACAGAAAGAATCTTATTAATATTAGGGCACACTCCAACTGCATTACCTTATTATTTTCCAAATACACAAATAATCATAGCAAAACACTTACCGGCAATGAGGACATTGAGCTCTCTGCTCTGTCAGCCAGCGCTAAGGAGGCAAAAAAATAAATTAGCTTTGATTGTAGAAACACCATTATTTTTATTTGTACATATTGAATACTTATATACCAAATTTAGTAAGTTTAACTCTCTAGTGCCTGCATTAATTATAAAGATACTTATAGAAATAGTAGATACCTACTGTCTTCCTCTCATTATCATATTGATCAGGACAAACTTTCAAAGGGACAGAACTCATCCCAAAATAGTTAAGAAGCTATTCTCTCATAGGAAAGAAAGTGATTCTAGGGCTATTTGGATCTCAGAGGGAAGATGTGGATAATCTTCACAAAAATAATGATATAGTCACTACCATCTCCAAACATAAACCATAGGGTTTTACTTCTAACTAACCCACCATACTTCTAACTAACCTACCCTAGAATCTGCAAGGAAGTTTAACTAACAAACCATAAAATCCCCAAGGAAATTTAAGGTACTAATACATTTCTTTTTAGAAAAGCAAATTAATTTTGAAGAACACACATTATAGATATAAATTAGACCTAAAATATGAATAAGCAATATAGCAAAACCATTTTGTGTCTTGAGTTCCAGTTCAATAACTTTTAAACATCTACATAACTTTGCTTCCTCATAATTATGAAAAGGTTTTACAAACCCTTTTAACTGCAAAATGTCTCCACTAAACCTCAAATTATATTAATTTAATCACTGTAATTATTACTGAGTAGGGAGCAGTATCACACCATATACAAAGGAGATGCTAAGATTTTCTGAATGCCTTTCCAAAAAACCCAATATTTATGGTTAAATATTTTTGTTTTAATAGTCTGGCAAATTGGTTCAGAGGTAAATGAATGTATTTCAGTATCTGATATTTCTGTTTATCCCTATGTACTTTTATAAAAGAACATAAACTTTTACTTAAAGTCAATTAATTAACTCAGAAATAAAATTGCCAAGGAAACCTTAAAGGACAAGAAAAATTAGACAATAGGGAAAAGGGACCTCACAGCAAAATCTTATATAATAAAAGCCTAACATGCAAATTGTCCCCTCGACCAGGAGTTCAATCGGGAGTTCGACCAGGGGCGGGGCCGGCCAGCCCTGCTCCCAATCAGCTCCCCCACCCTGATCAGGGGCGGGGCCGGCTGGCCAATTGCCCGTGGTCCCTTCCCACAGCCGGCCCGGCCCCATTGGCCCTGATCGGGGTGGGCCAGCTGGACCCCACTCGTGCACTAATTTGTGCACCTGGCCTCTAGTAAAGAAATAAAGCTAGAAGAAGAAAATACATGGAAGAGGATTCCTCCATTCTTAATAACCTTGAAAATTATTTCTTCAGTCCCTTGGTAAAAACAAAATTTGGGTCAAGTTTCTTCCCCTGAAAAAACTCTACTAAAGTCATAGCACCTCCCCAGGGCTGCTTTCAGCCCATACCTCCCTAGCCTAGTCCTCCTTCTCAACCTAGGGGAACCAGCAAAGTTAAACCTTTGAATATATTTGGTATCTCTCTGCCCAGGATATTTATCAATACCTCTCTTCAAATGGTTTATTCCTACTCATCCTTTCGATTTCAGTTTATAAGCAACTTCCTTCAGAAAGCTTTCTGACTCTACAGCAGCAGTTCTCAACCTGTGGGTCACGACCCCTTTGGGGGTCGAATGACACTTTCACAGGGGTCACCTAAGACCATCAGAAAACACATATATAATTAATTACATATTGTTTTTGTGATTAATCACTATGCTTTAATTATGTTCAATTTGTAACAATGAAATATGGGGTCACCACAACATGAGGAACTGTATTAAAGGGTCGTGGCATTAGGAAGGTTGAGAACCACTGCTCTGCAGTAAGCATGTCAAACTCAAAGGCTAGCACGGGCCAAATAAACAAGGTTTAAGTTTATGTGGGTCACAAAAAAACAAAAGCTTCCAATTTTCATAGAAACATAGGTTTATTTTGATAGAGACATGCTGAATACAAAGGGCTAAAATAAATAAGTAATCGTTAACATAAAATAGAACATTTTAATAAAAATTAATTTTTCTTGAACATTAATTTACCAGACACTGAATAATTGAACAAATTAATAAGCGTAACACAAATAAACCTATTTTTCTTGCTCTCAGAAAGCGAAATATTTCCCGTTGCGCACACCACACAAGTCAGTACAAGACTAATGACATGCAATTGGCTGCTAAAATACTTGCTGCTAGTATTTGTAGAGAGAAATGGTGTGCCTGCATATAAGGCGTGCAAGGGAAATGAACGTAACACGATTATAGTAATCAGCCATTAGCGAACGTTGTAGTTCCATATTAATAATTATGTATAACAGGATATTATAAAAATCAAGTTATGAAATTTTTATTAGAATGTTTCTTACATACCATTATATTGACTGGGCCACAAAAATATTCATTGCGGGCCACATGCGGCCCCTGGGCCGAGAGTTCGACATGCTTGCTCTATAGACTATTTTAGATACCACTGCCATGCTCTACCACAGCAACCTATACTTCCCCCTTCATTGTGGTTGTAGTCTCCTCTCCCTTGCTTCACAATAAGCTCTATAAAGGTTGGGACCAATATATTTTTTTAATATACTTCTCCCATCCAAAAGGGCTATTGTTGCAATATATACCACTCTTGACATCAGGACTGTCTATTTGCTTATACAGTCCCTCTCTCTATGCGCTCTCACATGAGAATATCCATTGATTATAACCATAAAACTTTCCTGCCTATCCCAAGCTAGTGACCTTTCTCTTTTCTATATATATGTAGCATTTTTACCTTGTACATATTACACAATCTAACTTAATCACAAAATAAGTATGGCAATTTTCATACTTTGGGGGAAACAATGTTTCTTCCAAACCAAAACTCAAGGCAAAAACCAGTGAACAATATTAATGCACAAGAAATATTAAAGAAACATCTTTAAAGTAATTCCTTCACAATCAACTGAAGAACTGATTTCTCTCCCTCATTAAATGGAAGCACAAGCTTTAGACAGTATTCAGACCTCAGTCTAATTCCTAGTTCTAGCACTTATTAACCACATGAAATAGACAAGTGACTGAGCTCAAGTTTTCTTGATTTATACTCCATGACCAAGTGATTTATTCCTGGAATGCAAGGACAGTTCAACATACAAAAATCAATTAGTGTAATATATCACATTAATAAAACAAAGGAAAAAAGGCATCTGACTAAATCCAATATCTTTTCATGATAAAAACACTCAAGAAATAGGAATAGGAGGGAACTTTCTCAACTGATAAAGTCCTTATTTTATTGTGATTGTTAATCCTCACCTGAGGATATTTTTTCATTGATTTTTAGAGAGAGTGGAAGATAAGGGCAGAGACAAAAAGAGGGAAACATCAATGATGAGAGAGGATCATTGATTGGCTGCCTCCTGCACACCCTTACTGAGGATTGAGCCTGCAACCTAGCATGTGCCCTTGGCCAGAATCAAACCTGGGACCCTTCAGTCCGCAGGCCAACGCTCTATCCACTGAGCCAAGCCGGCTAGGGCTAAAATCCTTATTTTAAAAACCCACAGCAAACCATATTCAGTGGTTAAAGATGGAAAACTTTTCTGTTAAGACCAGAGAAAAGACAAAGATGCCTGCTTTCAGCACTTCTATTCAACATAATACTGAAAATTTCAGCCAGAGCAATTAAGGAAGAAAAGAGAAACAAAAAGCATCCAAAATGGAAAAGAAATAAAATTATGTTTATGATGACACATGATCAGATATGTAGACAATCCTAGATTTCACAAGAAACTTAAGTTAAAGCTAATAAATTCACCAAAGCTGCAGGATACAAAAATCAACACACATAAAACACTTTTATTTCTATACACTAGCAAAGACTCCAAGGAGAAAATTAAGGAAACAATACATTTACAATAGCATCATAAAGAGTAAAATATCTAGGAATAAATTTAACCAAGGAATTGAAAAAACTGTATGTGAAAAACTACAAAATATTGCTGAAAGAAATTAAAGAAGTCCTAAATAACTAGAAAGACATCCCATATTCATGGATTAAAAAATTTAATATTGTTAAGATGGCAATACTACCAAAAGCAATCTACAGAATCAATGCAATTCCTATCAAAATCACAATGGTGCTTTCTTCAGAAGTAGAAAAACCCCATCTAAAATTCAAAAATAATCACAAGGTACCCTAAATAACCAAAACTATCTTGAATTTCCTGATTTCAATTTACGACAAAGCCATAGTAATCAAAACAGGTTTGTACTGGCAGGAAGACTGAAAGAGAGACCAATAGAGAGCCCAGAAATAAGTACTAAAAAAAATATTGTATAATTGGGTTTATATGAAGTACTTAACTAGTCACATTCGAAGAAACTTAAAGAATGGTGGTTACTAAGGGTTGGGAGAGAAGGTAATGGATAGAAGTAATGAAAGCAGGCAACCTTGTCTTTTTCCTGATCTTAAGGGGAAAGTCGAGGTACCATTACTAAAATTTAAGACTGAACAAACCAAGTGTTGGCATTAATATGGAATTAGCACTCTCATACATACCAGCAAGAACGTAAAAGGATAAAGTCTGATAATATGTTAGAAGACAGTCTGACAATATGTTAAACAGTTAAACATCTACCTTATGATCTAGATACTCCATTCCTGATTATTTACCCAAGAGAAATGAAAACTGAAGTTCATTCAAACACTTGTATATAAATGCTCATAGCTCTATGTAAATGCCAAAAACTAGAAGCAACCCATGTATCCATCAACAAGTGAATGTGTACAGTATGGTGACTATATGTTAATAATAATGTTATTATTAACCATACTATTAATAATAATAATAATGTTATTATTACCATACTATTAACCATAGTTATTATGGTTATAATAATGTTATTATTAACATATAACCATAATAACTATGGTTAATAAATAGTATGGTTAATAATATGTACTACATATTTGTAAATTGCTAAGAGAATAGATCTTAAGAGTCCTCATCATAAGAAAAAAATATTTTGTAACTATGTATAGTGATGGATGTTAACTAGTTAGTGTAGTCATCATTTTGCAATATATACAAATACATACAAATGTTGAATGTAGAAATATGTTGCACATCTGAAACTAATATAATGTTTTAAATGTCAATTATACCTCATTTAAAACAATAAAACATGTGAATGGATAAACAAATTATGGCATATGCATACAATACAATGCTATTACTGCACAGTAAAAAGGAACACTATTTATACACTTGACATAGGTAAATATCAAAATAATTTTGCTGAATAAAAAAAAGATACATAAGAGTATATATTATAAGATTCCATTTGTAAAAAATTCCAGAAAATCCACACATATCTATAGTGGCAGAAAGCAGATCAATGGTTGCCTGGAAACCAGATAAGCAGGAGATATTACCCAGAGATACAAAGAAACTGGGGGATTGCAGATATTTTCACTATCTTGACCATGGTGATGGTTTCTGAGGTATATACATTTGTCAAAACTTATCAAACTGTACACTTTAAATATGTGTAGTTTATTGTATGTAAATTACACCCGATTTTAAAAGTCTGCAAAATTTAAGACAAAACAAAGTCAATAATTGTAGGCAAACATAAAGAGCTACTTATGCTGAAAATCAAGAAGGGATAAAAAAAAAGAGAATTATGGGGACAAAAAAAGGGGGCAGAAAACAAACAAACAAAAAATTAAAAAACACAAACAAAAAAACAGGTAGTAAGAGAGAATCAACTAAGTGTAGCTAGAAAATTGAAGATCTAGTCTGAAAACATAGCCAAACAAGTATAAACTCTCCCTCCTCTGGGTCTCACAACATTTTGTTAGTGTCTATGACGGTAAACAAAGTCCATTCTCTTTATTAGATTTAAGTTCCTTCAGGGCAGGCACTTTGTCATTTATCTTCATATCCCTCAACCTCAAACACAATGCAGGCCAGCCCTTTGTAAGTACTTGTTAAATGTGCAATGATTTAATAATGTAAATATATTAGAATTTTAGTGGATTTTGGTTTCCAGACATTTCATGGCAGTTATCATTTGATGACTATTCATCTCCACAGTACTAAGTAACATACACTGATGGTCTCCCTATTAAGGAACATTCATTGAAGACATTTTTTTTAAAAGGACACAAAATCTAAAATGAAAAGATAAAGGAAATGGTTAATTTTTACCATTTTATTTACCAATATATCCTACATATGCTAAATGCATGTGGAAAGAAAAGTACAGCTTACCCTGATACAGCTGAAACAACAAAGCTTGGAGCAATGAGGACACAGGCGTGCATCCCGCAATTTCTCCATACAGATGAAACATCGAAAAACCTCAGCAATGCTCTGAAAATAATAAAAGATGTAAGGTCCACCAGGTTAGGCTACTGAATCAAGAGTAAAAAGCGTGATTAAAGTAATTTGCTTATTTACATTTATTTTAGGCTGATAACATCTCAGTTTTAAGTTTATTCCATATCAGGACTTGTTAGCCAAGATCAAGTACCTCAGAACATCTAAGCTTCACAATGGTCCTATTCTAAGGAAAGGATATGAAATGCACAAATATTTTTACTGAACATTAATTATAATGGCAAGGATCTGGCTGGTCCAAATATTAATGACCACAGTTAACATAGATTACATTAGTCACTACAAATATTTCTTCGATTATTTAATGATACAGAAAAAATGCTTATGTTTAACAGTAAGGAAAAAAAAAGGCAAACTACACGGTTAAAGGAACAATATGAACTTTTTACTTTCTCTGCAATTTCACAAGGAGGATGAATTGCTATGATAAGTTTTTAAGAGATACATATCCTAAAAGCAGTGCACTTTGACCAATGCCCTGGATAGGTAGCTCAGTTGGTTGGAGTGTCATCCTGATTGGCCAAGATTGTGGGTTCAGTCTGGTCAGGGGACTTACAAGAATCAACCAATGGATGTATGAGTAAGTGGAACAATCACTAAAGCCCTGGCCGGTGTGGCTCGGCTGAGCTTCCTGCCACGCACCAAAGGGTCTCGGGTTTGATTTCATGGTCAGGGCACATGCCCAGTTGCAGCCTGGACCCCCAGTAGAGGGCAAGCAGCAGCTGATGGATGTATCTCTCTCAAATGATGTTCCTCCCTCTCTCCCCCTCCTTCCCCCCTCTCTCTCAAAACAATAAAAACATATTTTTTTAAAAATCAATAAAAACATCCTCAGGTGAGGATTAAAAACAATTATTTTTTTATTTACTTAAAGAAACTAACTCAGAATCCAGAAATCGGAATTTCTGCCCTGATACTGCAACCAAGCAGCTACTTACTTGAGCCTGAGAGTCTATTGAGAATTTTAGTGGCAGTTCTCCCAATGCTTTGGGAAGAAAAAAAGATCACGTAAATAGGAGAAATAGTATTATCTTTGCAACAAGCCTCATATGAATCAATTTAGGAAGTAACAAGGAAAGCAGATATAATTAAATGTAGGTTATTAGATATTTTAAGTTCATTTTTATAGGGCAGGAGAATTAAAACTCTCATAAAACCAAGGTCAAGTTACCAAGCCTTTAAAATACTTTCACATGCGAGTCTAATCATGACTGCAAGCCCGAAGAACCTGTGCGGTGCAGATGCTGGCGTGGAGGGGAGGGAGGTGGGGGCGACAACACCATTGGGTGAACTAGTTTAAAGAGCCCTGTCACATCGCTGCCCTTACTAAGAACGAAGCAAGGACTCAGTGTTTTAGTATTTCGACAATTAATACAGTATTTGACAACTATTACACAATTATGTTCAATAGCCAATCTTTTTTCTAAATTGTCCCTAGCCTTTATGTAAATACCCCAACAATTTTAAATCAGAGCTTACAAGTGCCAGGTATAATAAAAATAAGGTTGTTCTGGCAAACTACAGCCAAATCAGATAATCAGAGAATATGCTCATTCAACCTAGGAAGGGCAGAAGTCTACAAAAATGTACCGCTAGGAAGAAAGGTTATCCACTCGGAGGGAGATCTGGATCCGCGCAGAAATCACAAGCACTGGTTGCGAGCGTCAGGGCACGTCCCTGTAATGAATCTGCAGTTTTACTCTGCACAGGCTGCAGTCTGCAAAAGCCCCGTGGGGATGAGTGCCCGGGCGGAGACAACCTGAACACGCCAAGATGCGCACCACCTGCCTGCGGGAGCGGCCGGAGCACAGGCACCAGGGGCTGCAGCACCCGCCGCCGTCCTTCGCCCCTGGCCCGCTCCCCGCGGCGGCGGCGTCCCTACCGGAGAGGACTAGGGAAAGGCGACCCGTTTAAAAAACACTCAGCGGGTAGCATGGGGACACGAACCACCAACCTCCTCAACCCTCCACAAACCTCCTCACCTCTACACTCTGTTCATCCATTGCCTCGGACTCGCGGCGGGGCCTACAGCGACCCGCGGAGTCCGTGGTCTGACCTCTTAGGCGCCGGCCCGAGGTCGCCAGTTCAAACTGCCGCGGCGAACAACCCCGCGCCCACCTCAGGAGGC